ATTCACACACATGTTCACATACACTCAAACACACATGTTCACATACATTCATGTGTACTCACATTCATACACGGTCATATATACATTCACACTCAGATTCATGTACACTCACAATCATTTACCTATACACTCACACAATTGCTATACATTCACACATACATCCAGATTCTCTCTCTCTCTCTCTCTCTCTCTCTCTCTCTCTCTCTCTCTCTCACACACACACACACACACACACACACACACACACAGAGTTATAAGCTTCCACATTCATACACCTCCTTGTTTGTCCAGTAATAATCCATCAAATAACTATTTCAAACAACTTAATAGTCTTAGCATGTGTTCAGACTGCTGAGTTAATACTGATTCTTGACAGCTACCCAAATTACCCATCGGCTGATGAGTACATGGAAATACTGTTTGGAAGGATTCTGGGTTCATCTTTTTCTGGGCCCTCCTGTACCTCCAATTCACCTTACCCATCCCTGGTAGGTTCCATCCCAGGTAGAAGGGCTTCAAGCAAAAGCTAATACCAAACCACTAACCTAATTCAAGTCTGTGTTTGCATTAGAGGAAAATGATCTGTAATTTGTAAGCCAATTATTTATATGTAAATAAATGTTCTAAGGTTCTTGAAAGCAATTTGCTCTCAGAATTAAGTTAAACAAGCCCTTGAAATTTCATCTGTGCTAATAATTGACTTAGAAGATTTTCACTTCATAGACAAAGTGTGAGCCATCTCAGCTTCTTCATTGGTGGGATATAGATCAACAGCACTTTTCATGAAGGTTTTAGGGCAATGTCAGGCCCTGCTGCCATGCTGTTAGCTCCAGAGCCTTCAAAAGTATCCTTGTCCATATATGCTGTGGTCCTATAAAATTATAGATAGTGGAAGAGAAACAAAAGGAAAAGAGAACAAACAGAAAAGAAAAACAGCTAAAATATTTCTCCCATTGTGCAGCGATCAAACACACCTGTTGGAAGTCTGGCATGTCCAGCAAGGCAGTGATTTTAAATGTGTGAAGAAACTCGGGGAGGTATTCAAGGGCATGCTGGGCTCTGGCAAGGATGGAGCTGAGGCTAGCAATGACATCCAACAGAGACTTCAGTAAGCCATTTGCTTCAGAGGGTATCAGAGTCTTACAGGACAGGAAAAAAAAGAGAGAGAAAACAGAATAATCAATACTATTTCTATTCTCACAAGTATCTCTTGAACAGTGAAAACTTGATCTCTTGATTTTATTCTCTCTTGAATCTCAAAGGCATATTTGTTATACTTTATAAAAATTCTGTGTTGGGGGTAGATGTAACTGTGTTTTACAGAGCACATTAAATTATAGCAGTATTGTAAAATTGTAAACCAGCAACAAATTGTTAGAATTTGAATGATTTTCCAAGTATTTCTTCCTATTTTTTAGATGATTAAGGTAGATTTTGAGTTCAAAATAAGTGTTTTATGTGACATGCACACACACACACACACAGCAGCAGCACAGTGCTCCTCGCACCCTGGAGTGGTACATGAGCAAATGGAGGCCCAGAGAGATGAAAGGCTTCCTGGAGTCTACCAGTGAGAAAAGTTCAGGGCTGCAAACTAGATCAGTAAAAGTGTCTTCTGAACCCCCTTGTGCTCAGGTTCTCTGACACACAACACATCTTGGTCCTTGTCTATATCCCCAATTACAGGAGGTAAATTGAAGGAATTGGGAATCTTTTCCACCTTGATCATTTATGTGAAAAATGCAGATAGAACAATGTCTGTAATATTAGTTACACTGTGAGTACTTTTGACTGACTGAGATAACTTAGCAGGCAGGCCCTGCCCACAGATGGGATTCCTTCCCACTGTGGGTCATAAGCATCCTGCATTTTCTGTTGTCCAGTCTGAGCCAAGGAGTTCCGTAGTCATCACTTTTCAATCTGGGGTTCTGCCAGCTCTACATTTCATATTTCCTGCAGTGTTCTGATAATGATGACCTATTCAGCATGCTAAGAAAGTGGAGACTGAAGGAACAGGAGAAGGGGTGTGGTTTTTGTCAGTGCGCCACTCCCCTTTCTACTTACAGCTGCCATCTACAAGTGATCCCTCCCTCAAGGATCCTGATTTGTGGTAGGAAGTGACTGGGATTCCAGCGTGTGTGACATTAACCCAATAGAGCTTACTTCATCAAAGGCTTCTGAGGCTAGCTGTCAACAAGTAAGACAGAAAATCCCTGTACACTGGGGCTGCACTTAAATCTCAGCGGTGGTGTATGTGCCTATGCACACAGAACACCTTCCCATCTCCAGGTGACTTCACATAGGAGTGACCTCTCATACAGCTCTACATAAGGAAGGGGTCTGATAAAGGGAGCTACTGTTAATAATGATAGTGTTACCACTGCTATGTTGACAGAGACAGGATCCAATCTATTATCTCGTTTTCCAAAGAAATCTTGGTAGGGATTGTAGCCCTTATCCAAGTACTTATTTGGCCCTTAGAAACCTGGAGAGTTCTTTGTGGGCATGCCGGAGCAGACACTAAAATGGGCTAATAGATAGACTGGTATCTATGTCCTCCAAGGTACAAGGTAAAGTTGGAAGAGTGGGCTATGATGCCCAAGACTAAGCTCCTTGGCATGTCAGCTGGAAGTGTCAACTATACCAAGACAGAGAACATCTAAAATAAGGAGTAAATTTCACAATGATTATCTAACTCGAGACTTTGAAGTACACTTATTCTTGAGTTAGTATTTGTTCTTACAGTCTGTGTGTACATGGATGTGAGGGTGCAGGGAGGAGGGTGTAGGCAGATAGATGAACATTTGCTGGAGGTTTCTGGGCCTGACAGAGGGGAAAGAGACTATGAAGTCTGGAAAAGCAAATTTACCCTTCTCTAGCTCAAAACCATTCTCCTGAACATGGAATACGAGCAGCTGCCTTGCCCTGCTACAGATCTGGGCCTTTCTGATTGTGCATGTGCCACAACTCCTTAGGAGGAAATGGTAGACCTCTGAGGAAGACATGGGCCAGGGGTGCTGGGAATTTACCTAAAGGTTCATATGTGGAGAAGAGAAAGATCTTCTGGAAAGGGTGGCTGGGAATAGGAAACAAGACTGAGAATTTAGTGCTGGGGTAGGGCCTGAGATAGCTTTGCCCACTTCCCAGCTGTACTTCTCTGAGGATTTTATCCTCATGTTCTTTCAGACCTTCCATATTTTGTGGAGGAGTGCTGGAGGGCAGGTAAAGAACTGGCATATACAGGAACAAGAGCTTCTGTATTGCCCGCCCCTCTTCACTTTCCCACGGCTGCACTGGTAGTACTGGACGCACCTAACACAGAGGATGAATACCACAAATCCAGGGGCTGGAAAAGATGAGAGCTATAACATGGGAGGCACACCACCTGCCTTGGTCTTAGATGAAAGGACTAGGCTCAGGAAAAGATGAGAGCTATAACATGGGAGGCACATCACCTGCCTTGGTCTTAGATGAATGAACTAGGCTCAGTCTGCTTCCTTAGACACTCAGGATGCTGGATCTTAGTAAACAGAGAAATCCAACTACAGGAACTATGACCATTACTTTCTTATGAACTCTCCTCACTACCATGTGGTACTCAATGTCTCAATGGCCCTGATCCTACAGACACACTATAAGGTGTTCTAGCCTTCCCTTTATTTGATAAGATTTAATTGTGAAGCCCATCCCCAGAGTCAGTCAACAGGTGACACAACCCCAAGTGACTGAGGCTGAAACAGAATTGCTCATTGCTGGTCAATGCTGTAGCCATTACCAAAGGCCATGGGCTATCCCTAGATCTAAACAACCTGGAGGCCAAAAATATTTTTATGTATCTACAGTGTACAGGTACAGATAATTTTCTTGTCAGTATTCCAAAGGGAATGAAGTATAGCAAGTGTTTGTATAGCATTTATTATCTTGTGAGTATTATGCATGATGAAGAGAAGTTAAAGGATATAGAAAATGTGCTCGTTGGGTTTTGTCAACTTGGTACAAACCTAGGACATAGCGGGAAGAAGAACCTACATTGAAAACCAGTGCTCTATCGGATTGGCTTGGAGGCAAGTCTTGGGAGCATTTTCTTAAATAGTGATTGATGTGGGAACATTCAGCTCACCATGGGCAGTGCTACTTCTGGGCCAGTAGTCCTGGTTCCTCTAAATAAAACAGGCTGAGCAAGCCATGGGGAGCAAGCCAGTAAACAGTACTCCTCCATGGCTTCTGCTCCAGTTCCTGCCTTGACTTTCTTCAATGATGGCTTATGATATGAAAGTATAAGGTGAAATAAACCTTGTGCTCCCTAAGTTGCTTCTAGTCAAGGCACTGATCACAGCAAGAGAACCCTAACCAGGATGGAAGATTATACCTATGTTCTGTACTTCACATTCTTTCATACAAGACACCAAGCTCCCTTGGGTTTAAAGTCTGAGGATGCAGACAGCTGCACATCCAGTGCCGGTGTGTAGTTACAACAGTTCCCGTGCAGTGCTCTTAGTGGGCACAGTCCTTACTTTGTAAATGAAGTTCCTCAGGTTTAGGTTCTGGCCCATCATCACAAGCAGAGAGAAGACTTGAGATCCAGGCAGGCTGCAGAGTTCCCTTGTGGCAAACCAGGATTTTTCACTCTCGGGAAATGTCAGCAAGAGATGAAGAATTTCTTCGTCGCATTTTCCAGACAAAGCTATGGTGAGGACACTGGAGAGAACCTGTTGTAAAGCATGTGAATCAGAAAGGAGCAAACCCAGTGCAGTTTTGCTTCAGCTCCCTAGAGCCCACTTTCTCAAGAAAAACAAACACCTGGAAACTCAGAAGACTCACTGAGAGACACAATGCCTCTATGACCTTTCCATCACTGTTACAAAATGCCTCAGGCAAGCACCCATGATGAAGAAAGGTTTATTTTGCCTCATGGTTACAGCAGTTTTGTTCCGTAGTCTATCAGGCTGTTGTAGAGCACAACATCTTGGTGGATGCACATGGTGAGATCAAGCTAATCACCTCATGGTGATCAGAAAACAAGGAGGAAGAAAGAAGGCTGAGGGTCCCAGTTTCCCTATTTAAAGATGCCAAAGTCACAGTCTCTATGACCTAACTTTCTTCAACTAAGGGCCACTTCCTGAAGGGACCAGATATTTATGACATGGGCCTTTGAGGGATAACCTTCATCTAGACCACAGCTGGGTCAAATTCTGTGTCTTATTTTCAGCATTTTGAACAGAAATGTTTTCAAGATTGCAAGTCATTCTCCGTCTGCACAGCTTCCCTGTGTTTGAGCACTCTGGCAATAGCTGATATAGATCCTTTCCTCCCTCTCTCCACAGCATCTGTGGAGCACCCCTCAGCTGTTGCCCCTCGCCCCTCACCCCTCACCAGCTCTGTCCATGCCCCTAAGGTTGCCTGTTCCACAGCACTTGGGACTTGTCTGCAGATGCTGTTTCACTCCCCTTTGCCTTCAGTTTGCTAGATCCTTCATTTTTCACTGTTAACATGTAGGGAACTAGTAATTTTAAAGCAATTTTGCCTCCCTTACTTTTAGATTTTAAAAGGTCATCTCCAAACTTTTCATAGTTTCCTTTAAAAATAAAAGCACAGAAACTCAAAAGGAGGCACAGAAGGCAGACTCTGTTTTATACAGCATTGGTGTTCTATGGTGCATTCAAGGACTTGGCTGCCTCAAGGACTGGGGCTCATCTTTTTGTTACTGACATTGTTAAAAAAAATTTTCAACGAAAATAAAACATACAGGATCAGATATCATATTTGCATGTTTACAGCTACCATGGGTATGATCTCTGAGAAATATCCTAGCCATCTGGGGCCCATTGTGTGAACCCAATGATAAGAGATACAGTGACAAATTAGGAGGCCTGCAGTCAAAAAGGGCTCACTGGGTGCTTCTGTGTGCTACAAAGTCAATAAGAGACAATACAGTTTATCAGTCAGGGATTCCTAGAGGTACTAAAGTTGACAGACAGACAGACAGACAGACAGACCTTCATCTACAAACTAGTGAAAACCTACCTGGATTTGGGAGCTGAAGAGATGGCTAGCCAGATAAAGCACTGGCTGTGAAAAGAAGAATAACAGAAGCTGGATCCCCAGCATCTCCAAAACATAACTATGGCAGCCTATCTTTAACCTCAGCGCTGGGGACAGGACAGGATGAAAGAGAGTCTCTGGAGCAAGCTGGTTAGCCATGCTAAGTGAATCAGCAAGCTATGTGTTCAAGTGAGAGACACTGCCTCAGTATAGAAGGTAGAGAATGATGCCAGTGTTACCTTCTGGCCTCAGTGAACACATGCACACACACACACGCACACACACACATGCACACCTACAAACACTCTACAAGAAAAATAAAATGAAAGCCAAGACTTATGGCTCAGGTATACTGTGAGGACTTGCTAGAACAATCTGTGTTGAGGCCAGAGACTGAGACCCCAAGGATGAGAGGCTGCTGCAGCTTGAGTTTAGAGGCCACAGAAAGCTACATTCCCTCTTGTTCAAGGCATCTCAGTAGTTTTTCTCCTAAGGTCTGGAATGACTTAGATTAAGTCATCTCCTGTCATCTCTAGGAGAGAGACTCACCTTAACGGAAATCTAATTATTTAATACTATTCTCATCCAAAAAAAAAAAGAAAAGAAAAGAAAAAACCCTATTTCCCTGACAAAGGCATTTAGAAAAATGCCACCTTCACATATAACTAGCCAGAAGGCTTTTATGAATGATAGTGGAACTGACACATTTCCTGTTTGCAGATGTGTTCTGGCAGTTTCCAGGGATCCCTAAGGGTGTACTGTGGGCACTAACCTGCCTTTCATTGCTGCATTTGCTCTGTTTCGTAAAGATGGCTTCAGGATAGAACTTGGCTGAGAAGAGGGGCTCACCCAAATATAAGGCATCAACTCCAGAGGAGCTGCTCCCAACTCTGGGTGGACAAGAGCCTATGCTGGCCCCATAAAAGACCTCAAAACTTATTGAGAGCCTCTGTACCCACCTCTTTCCAATGTGTCACTCAGTGGTGTCAGCCCTTCAAACTTAATGTTATTTCTTAGAATTTGTTTGAGGGTAAAGCTGTTTGTCTTGAAACTTTTGTCACCTTGTCTCCCAAATAAAGAAGATACCCCAGAGAGCCTCCCACCAACACCCAGGAGACTCGCCTGCCTTAAGTTTGTTGACATTCCTTTGTATAATTTTTCATTTTTGCTATTTATCTTTTTTAAAAAAGTACTATGCCTGTTTTTCTCATTGGAAAGACACCTGAATCAAGCAGCACAAATACGGAATATAAAGTTAAGGAAACACTGTTGCTCAGTTAGAGACACACATTGTTTCAAATCAGAGAACTGCAGGCAACTCAGACTTTACTCTGGTCCATATCAAAGACACTGTGTTTCTCCGGTATTTTCCATTCATCCATGTTTGACTTGGAAATCTGCAGGGAGACCAAAGACCTGGGGAGGTATTTACCCATGATTAGCATATAGATGCAATCACATGGACAGTCATTTGATTTAAAACTAATGATGATCCCCATGAGAGGCCCTGATCATTTTCACCAAGAGCTTGCATGGGGTGGAGTGGGATTTGGTGGGGTGGGGGGTGAGGAGTTTTCACATGGAGGGCATGGGTCTAAGACTTGGGGAAGGGCCATGGGTTGAACAGCTTAAACATGTGGCCATGAGTCAAGGGCAGGGCTAAGGCTGTGGTTCCACCATTACCCAGCTAATAATTTTATACATTGAGGTAGAGATAAAATGTGAGCAGAGTTGGGAGGAGCTCAGCTCGATCTTTGTGTGAGCAGCAAGGACATACTGATAGCAATGCAGTCATCATGGATCTATGAGAACAGTGACTGCTGATTTGAGGTTTGAGTGTTAAGAAAGCAACGTCAGATGGAATGAGGAAAATTGATCCTGCATATTTTAGTGAACATTGCTCTACTCTGGGGATGGGGCTGAGCTCAGACCTACTGACATGATAAAGAACCAGATAGAAGAGAAGAGTGGGAGAGAAGAGCAGAGAACCATAGGATCTATCTAGGACTGAGCCGTAGGCTGAAGTCAGTGATAAAGCCAATGTTAGAGGGATCTGATCCAAGCTCACACTGAATGACATGAGACATACTGGATCCATCTAAAAGCCCCGTGTAAAAGTTTTCATGTCTTCACAATAATAGTAAGACGACCCAATCCCTCCAGCAATTGCAAATGGGAGGCTCTGAAAAGCAGGGGACAGGTATGCAGGTGTTTAGGAATGATCAGCCAAAAAGTGCCTTTCACTGGGGTACTTCAAGAAAAATGAGAATAGAAATTGGGTAGAATCATTAATTGAAAAGGACATTTCTGTTTAAGATAGCCAGGGGGAGGAGGGAAATGAAGACGGAGAGGGAGGAGAGTGGAGTCAGAGACAGGAGCTAAGCAATTTGTTCTGTTTTCATATTCCAGAACAGAACCATCTCACGGTAGAAAGGCATCACTGGGCTCTGCGTCCACTGGGACAGACTCAGGCAGCATGAAACGAGTAGATATTCTCCAGGAGAAGGCAGAGGAGGAGGAGGAGGCCCGAAGCAGGAGGTTAGAGTTTCAGGATCCAGCACATCTCTGGAGTCTAAGTTGTTGGGTTTTGAGGAGATGATGTTACGTTCAAGAAAGGAGTCCAGGAGGAGAGGAGCTGCCCATGTCAACCCCAGCAAGGAATGGAAAACAGCCAGGCCCTTGTCTCCTTGAGCATTTCCATATCTCAGGTGCTAATGCCAGTATTTCAGCTCCATCTCCAATGTCCCCTGCTCAATCATGCTTCCTGTGACTGCCCTCATCTTTGTGCTACATGTATGTCACAGGACGTCCTACTATCTTCTCTAGACTGTCAGCATTGCATATTTAATAAGCCATCCCCACAGAAGGGTGGCTCTGTATAGCAGTGTCTTTGAGGCACAGCATCTAAGAACAATGCTTGATGCATGGAAAGATATCGAGTGGGCAACAGGAAGAGCAAGCAAAGATTTCTGCAACTTCCCAAGGAACTCAGCGTTGCAAAAATGTATCTTGAAGATCACCTGGGATGAGTCCAATGTGATGAATTTATAAACTGACTAATGAGACTATGGGAAAGAAAACTGGGGTCAAACAAAAGGAGATGGAACTACAAACAAGAAGTAGCCATCAACTTGATACTCTAGAAGAAAACAGAGCCCAAAGTGTCACCTACTAAGCGGCTGTGGGTGTGTGTGACGTCAGTATACAAATGTACTCATTAAAGTGAATAGCCTCATGTGTTTGAACAGTGAGAATGAATTTGTTTAGTCCCTGTCCAATTTCCTATGGACCCATCTACTTAGGTGGCCACAGCAGTTATAGCGATGCATGGAAATGTACACTTATTGGGGGGGGGGGGGAACCACAAAAATCATCTGTGCTGTAATTGTTACTGCATAACCCACTAGCTCACTGTGCAGCTCATCTCACCATAGAACTTCAGCGCCACCTGGTGGCTGCTTCCTTCTAAGCAGGCAGCAAAGCAGAAATCTCTGCCCAAACCAAAATGGATCTTAAAACGTGGACCTTGAAAGAAATGAGTTTATCAGTAAAGCTTCTATATGGGCAGCCTTGGGCTGTTGCCCAAATAGTTCGGCCACTACTCTAGACTCCTGTTAGATGTTCTACACTGCAGCATGCAAACCGAAGTAATCACTTCAGTGGAATAACTGAAGGTTGCCTAGTTGAAGAAACGTTTCCAAAGCTCTCCTCTCTGCTGAGCTCCCCTCCTCCTCCATCCCCTCACTTCCATTGGCATGTGGTGTGTAATGAGATACAATTGATGTTTTTTATTGAAAATAGATACTGCCTTTGTTGTGATAAGTAACTTTGTGATACTATAGTCTACATTTCCGATCTCTTACTTTTCATCTATTTCATTCTCAATTTAGATGAACTGTTAATGAATCTACTTACTAAGCTTGCATTGAGCCCCAATTAATCAGAATTAACATGAAATTCAATTTATATTGGAGTCTGGGTGATTGTCAGTTGAAGCATTCGTGTATAAGCTGGTTTCTCAATTCTCTACAGAGAAGGGCAACCACGTTCCCCCCGGAAGTACAGAAAACCACAAACTAAATATCCACATGTCATTTGCTGTGGCTAACATGGTAGCCACCTGCTCCCCTCTCTGCTGATAAGCGCTACCCCTAACACCACTTCAACAAGAGAAGAGATAAGCAACACACAGTGTAAGGGTTTTAAACTACTTGCTTTTCCACTTCCTTACCCAACACTTTGCAGCCATTCTAGGGAAGCCCAAGCCTGTCACTTTGCCCATCTGTTATGAGTCATAGCCATACCACATGACCAGAGTGTATGGCTATTTTACATCATGACAGATTACATATTTTTAACTACCTTTATTTGGGGATTTGAGATTTATGGCACATATAGAACCATGAAAAACCCTAATGGCCTTTATGCATCAGAGTTAGAAATCACTAAAATAAATGTTGCCAGTAATCTTATCCAAATGAAGGTGATGGTGCCAACTTATATCACCAGATGTCCACATCGTTCAGCTCCTTGCTTGTTTGCACAGGTCCCTCTGATTTCAGCTACATCATTTGTACACACAGCCATTCCTCCCAGCTGTGGAAGAGGGAGGAGGCAAGGAAAGGTGGTTGGGGCACCTGCAGCTGTGAGGGCTTCCTCATGATGGAAGTAGCCCTGTACCTTTGAATGGGAAATGTTGGCTTCTAAGATGCTATGGATGGTTTCCTCGGAGATGTGGAAGAAGGAGCGAAGGTCTTCCGTTAATTTGGTGATGTTCTTTATCAAATCCTTTATTTTTACATCTGAAGAACATACAAAAGGAAAACAGAGTTTATAATAAATTTTCAGAAGTTTTATTGATTTAAAACAACATTTGATGTTGCTACCTAAAGAAGTTTCTCTCATGCCATCCAGCTTATAGCAGATGCTAAATATTCATCTTACTCTTCTAGAGGCATCTCAGATCACTTCATAAAAACCTCTGGCTAGGCGGTATCATCTAGTCAATGGCTGACTCTGAGTCCGAGATGCTTTGAGACTCGCTTTAGAAAGAATTCTTCCTGAATGAGCAGTGACCAACCATGGACTATCAGGACCTCATCTTTCTTAACAAGAAAATTATCACTTAAGGATGTGTGAGCATTCTTCACACTTCTCATATCAATGCTGTGTGAGGTCTAGGAGCTGTGTGGATAGAACAGAGGCTCATAGGATCCAGTAGTTTGTGGGAGGACAGAATGAGAAATCCAGATGACATAAGGTTGCCTCTTTTCCTTTATCTGAATTTTGAGACCTCAGGAATTTCCCTGTGAAACCTGAACAGCTCTGACTAGCTCCATGCTAAAGTGTGTGGTTGGCTTTTGACTTTAGTTCTTAAATAATACAGAGTATATCTCTTGCTTTTTGTGCTTTATTTCAAATTTGTTAGAGTGAAACACTAAATTTCTTTGTACTTAGCTTTTCTTCCACTAATTAATGTATTTATTCATTTTATGTCCCAATCGCAGCTCTCCCCATCTCCTCCCAGTCCTTCCTCACACAGCCCCTCTTAAATTGAACTGTGATCACATCATTCCCCTCTCTCTCCTCCCTCACACTGTTGTGTCCCCCTACTCCCTCTCAAATTCAAGGTTTCTTCTTACCTAACAATATGGCATAATTTTCCTTTTTATGCTTCATTTTAATAATATGCTGGACTGAAACAATAAATGTAATTTTTATTTTTTCTCATTAGCAGATATTAACCTCATTTTGATCATTTGTTATATAAATAAAATTATTTTTAGAAGAGCAATTTTAAATTAAAATAACAAAGTTTAAAGAAGTTGTCTGTAACAAGTTTGTTGCATGAAAATCTGTAATATTCAATGGAAAAATAGAGGTGGGTCTACATATCCATGGAACCTCTAATTTTTTTTAATTAAACTAATAAAATTTATTTTAAAATATACAACTCATTACTAAGTCATCAAAATGCCTCTTAAATATACATGATATCAACTCAGCTTCCTTCCCGGCCTGCCTCGCATCGGCCCACCAGGCTGGGCCAGAGCAGCCAAAATGGCCGACTTCAAGGATTGGGTGTCAGATGAGGAGAAGGTACGCTAGTCGCTAAATTCATCACCCTTGTACCCCGAGGGGAGTTTAACGATGTATTCAATGATGTCCGGCTACTGATTAATAATGACAATCTTCTCGAGGAAAGGGCAGCACATGCGTTTACCCAGTTTACCATGGATCAGTTCACATCTGTGAAGAGATAAGGCTTTGATGACCAGGTCTTAATTACAGAGCATGGTGACCTTGGTAACAGCAGATTTTTAGATCCAAGAAACAAAATTTCCTTTAAATGTGATCATTTACAGAAAGGAGCAAGTGACCCACAGCCAGAGGATGTGGATGGAGGCTTGAAGTCTTGGAGGGAATCGTGTGACAGTGCTCTAAGAACCTATGTGAAAGATCATTATTCCAACGGCTTCAGTACTGTCTACACTAAAACTATAGATGGGCAACAGACCATTATTGCATGCATTGAAAGCCACCAGTTTCAACCCAGAAACTTCTGGAATGGTGGCTAGAGATCAGCGTGGAAGTTCACCATCACACCACCTACAGCCCAGGTGGCTGGAGTGCTGAAGATTCAGGTTCATTTTATAAAGATGGCAATGTTCAGTTGGTTAGTCATAAAGATGTGCAGCACTCAGTAACTGTTTCTAATGAACTCCAAACTGCCAAGGAGCTTATTAAAATCATAGAGAGTGCAGAAAGTGAGTATCAGACAGCAGTTAGTGAAAAATATCAAACGATGTCAGACACCACGGTCAAGGCCTTGCACCAGCAGCTTCCAGTTACCCGCACCAAAATCGACTGGAACAAGATACTCAGTTACCAGATTGGCAAAGAGATACAGAATGCTTAAAGGCCATCTGTAGGCATCTCCAGTATATGGAAAGAAAAGGATTCAACACAGTGTGGTCATATGATAAATACGTGATTTATAAACAAACAAGAGTGATATTTTGCTAGTTAACAAAGTTAACAGATCTTCTAGCCTCATGGTATACTTAATTTTCTGTTATCACTATATCTACTTGTAAATCTTTTTTAAATAATTCTGCTACTGCTGACAGGAGCCTGACATATTTATCTCCTTAGAGGTCTGCAAGAGTCTGACATATTCAGAGGCAGATGCTCACAGCTAACCACTGAGCTGATCATGGGGTTCCCAATGGAGGAGTTAGAGAGAAGGCTGAAGGAGCTGAAAGGGTTTGCAGCCCCATGAGGAGAGCAACAATACCAACCAACCAGAGCTCCCAGGGTCTAAACCACCAGCCTGGGAGCACTTAGGGAGGGACCCATGGCTCCAGCTATATATGCAAGGGAAGATGGTCCTGTCAGGTATAGGTGGGAGAGGAGATCCTTGGTCTCATGAAGGCTGGACGCCATGTGTGTGGGAATTCGAGAGTGAGGAGGTGGGAGTTGGGGGTAGGTGGGGGCACATCCTCATAGAAGCAGGAGGAAGGAGGATAGGATAGGGAGTTCTTGGGTGGGAGGGGAAATGGGGTAAGGGGATAATATAAGAAATGTAAATAAAATAACCAATAAAAATAAATTTAAAAAATTCTACTACATTTAATGTCAAAGAGATATATACTGAAGTCATTTTACTGTTTAGAAAATTTCTTAGGCATGTAGTCCTATGACTGGTTTTTATAGAGTATCTGTTGAATACTTTTTTACTCCTATGTTTTAAAGTCGGTGGCTTTTAGTGATCCACCAATTGCTAAAGAGGCTATGCTACCAAGAGCTAAACAGACAATACCCTCTTTCTCTCTCTCTCTCTCTCTCTCTATATATATATATATATATGTGTGTGTGTGTGTGTGTGTGTGTGTGTGTGTGTGTATTTGCTTTTTTGTTCTAGAGCTTTCAGGTGTGTTGTCAAGCTGCTAGTGTATGCTCTTTCCAATTTCTTTTTGGTGGCACTCAGCTGAGTTTTCCTTAACTCTCCTTTCATTGTGTCCCATAAGTTTTGGTATGGTGTGCCTTTATTTTCATTAAATTCAAAAAAGTCTTTAATTTCTTTATTTTTTCCTTGACCAAGTAATCACTGAGTAGGGCATTGTTCAGCTTCCACGTGTATGTGGGCTTTCTGTTGTTTTTGTTGCTATTGAATATCAAGCTTAGTCCATTGTGATCTGGTAGGATGCATGAGATTACTTCAATTTTCTTGTATCTGTTGAGGCCTGTTTTATGACTGATTATATGGTCAGTTTTGGAGAAGGTACCATGAGGTGCTGAGAAGAAAATATATTCTTTTGTTTTAGTATAAAATGTTCTGTAGATATCTGTTAAATCTATTTCGTCAGTAACTTCTGTTAGTTTCACTGTGTCTCTGTTTAGTTTCTGTTTCCATGATCTGCCCATTGATGAGAGTGGGGTGTTGAAGTCTCCCACTATTATTGTGTGAGGTGCAATGTGTACTTTGAGCTTTAGTAAAGTTTCTTTTATGAATGTGGGTGCCCTTGCATTTGGAGCACAGTTGTTCAGAACTGAGAGTTGTTCTTGGTAGATTTTTCCTTTGATGAGTATGAAGTGTCTTTCCTTATCTTTTTTCTTTTTTGAAAGTTTATTTTCTTCGATATTAGAATGGCTACTCCAGCTTGCTTCTTGGGACCATTTCCTTGGAAAACTGTTTTCCAGCCCTTTACTCTTAGGAAATGTCTGTCTTTGACATTGAGGTGCATTTCTTGTATACAGCAAAATGCTGGGTACTATTTATGTATCCAGTCTGTTAGTCTATGTCTTTTAATTGGGAAATTGAATCCACTGATGTTAAGAGAAATTAAGAAATAGTAATTGTTGCTTCCTGTTATTTTTGTTGTTAGAAGTAAAATTATGTTTGTGTAGCTATCTCCTTTTGGGGTTGCTGAAGAAGATACTTTCTTGCTTTTTTTAGGATGCAATTTCCTTCCTTGTGTTGGAGTTTTCCATCTATTATCCTTTGTATGGCTGGATTTGTGGAAAGATATTGTGTAAATTTCATTTTGTCATGGAATATCTTGGTTTCTCCATCTATGGTAATTGAGAATATTGCAGGGTATAGTAGCCTGGGCTGGCATTTGTATTCTCTTAAGGTCTATATAACATCTGCCCAGGAACTTCTAGCTTTCACAGTCTCTGGTGAGAAGTCTGGTGTAATTCTGATAGGCCTGCCTTTGTATGTTACTTGACCTTTTTCCCTTACTGCTTTTAATATTCTTTCTTTGTTTAGTGCATTTGATGCTTTGACTATTATGTGACAAGAGGAATTTCTTTTCTGGTCCAATCAATTTGGAGTTCTGTAGGCTTCGTGTATGTTTATGTGCATCTCATTCTTTAGGTTAGGGAAGTTTTCTTCTTTAATGTTGTTGAAGATATTTACTGGCCCTTTAAGTTGGGAATCTTAACTCTCTTCTATACCTATTATCCTTAGGTTTGATCTTCTCACTGTGTCCTGGATTCCCTGGATATTTTGGGTTAGGAGCTTTTTGCATTTTGTGTTTTCTTTGACAGTTGTGTTCATGTTTTCTATGGTATCTTCTGCACCTGAGATTCTCTCTTCTATCTCTTGTATTCTGTTGGTGATGCTTGTATCTATGACTTCTGATCTCTTTCCTAGGTTTTCTATTTCCAAGGTAGTCTTCCTTTGAGATTTCTTTATTGTTTCTAATTCCATTTTTATATCCTGAATGGTTTTGTTCAATTCCTTCACCTGTTTGGTTGTATTTTCCTGTAATTCTTTATGGGATTTTTGTGTTTCCTCTTTAAGGGCTTCTAGCTGTTTACTTGTGTTCTCCTGTATTTCTTTAAGGGAGTTGTTTATGTCCTTCTTAAAGTCCTCTGTCGTCATCATGAGATGTGACTTTAAATCAGAGTCTTGCTTTTCTGGTGTGTTGGGGTATCCAGGGATCACTGTGGTAGGAGAACTGGGTTTTGACGATGCCAAGTAGCCTTTGTTTCTGTTGCTTATGTTCCTACCCTTGCCTCTTGCCATCTGGTTATCTCTGGTGCTGGCTAGTCTTGCTGTCTCTGACTGTGGCATGTCCCTCCCACAAGCCTGTGTGTCAGTACTCCTGGGAGATCATTTCTCTCTGGGAGGAATTTGGGTATGGAGAGCTGTGGCACAGGGTCAGCTCTAGGGTGCAAACAGACACTGTAAGGATTCTGTCCCCAGCTGTTCCTTGGTTCCTGTGTCCTGATGACTCTGGGCTGGTCCCTCTTGGGAGAGGAATTTGAGCAGAAGTGGTGGTCTTACCTGTGCTCACAGATGTGTTGGCACTCCTGAGAGACCAGCTCTCTCCCAATGGTATTAGGGTATGGAGCACTATGGCACAGGATCAACTCCAGGCACTGTCACACAGGATCAGCTCCTGGTGCAGACGTAAACCAGAAGGATCCTGTCCCAGGCTGCAACTCGGTTTCTGTGTCCTGAGGCCTCTGGTCAAGTCCCTCTGAACAGAAGTGGTGGTCTTACCTGTGCTCATAGGTGTGTCAACACTCCTGGGAGACCTGCTCTCTCCTGGTGGTATTTGGGTATGGAGCGCTGTGGCACAGGATTCTAAATGTAATTTTTAATCAAGCAAGTTGAGAAACTACATACCCTCTGTGACTGTGAAATTGCTAAGAAATGTCACAACAGGAATTTTTGACATCCAAGTTTCCTCGAGACTTTTGGTCAACCTAAAGTGACAGAAAATTAAAATGAGACAATATAAAACATCAGAAGCAATGTTGATATAATAACCATGCCTCTGGTCTAGGAGCTAGGCTGGAAAACACAGGTTCCCTCTGATAAATAGACATACTCAGTCCTCTGATACTATCTCTGTGTGAATTTCCTCAACACCAGGTTTCTAACATATCCTCCCTCAGCCAAGTACAGCAAAATAATCAGGGTGATGGCAACAAGGTGCATGATAAATGGCTTCTCCCATATGTGGGAAATAGACAAAATAGACGATGGTGTATTTGACAAATTATTGCAGGCACAGGTAGATGGCTACTTCTCTGCATCTGTAGATAGCTATGTCATCTGCAGAGTGTAAAGCTCCTGACTTCTCCTTGGGGCTCACACTTCTAAACACATGAGAAGTTTTAATGAAATATGAAGTCATTTGAAAATATGTGTCTGTTCATTTATTTATATTTATTGCCACACTGTACTCCTGGATCCCAATATCTGACCCAGTGTCTTACGTGTCTATACAGCTCACCTGACAGCAAAGGCTGCTGTTAAGATTTAACATGTAAGTAGTACTTATGGAAAGCCGTGGTGTTTGACAAGTATGTGGTACCAATGTTATCTGAAATCAGTAACTTTAGAAACAATTCATTCTGAATGAGCACTTAAGCACACATCTTTCAGAAAATTGAGAATACTGGGGAGGGCACAAGAGCCATGTTATACGCACCTGTGCATGTGCTGCTGAACTGTTCCCACTAAAGGCTGGCATGCGCAGCCCTGGCTGGAAGCATTTTCCAAGATGCTTTTAAAGCCTTCCAAGGCGCTGGAAAAATTCCTGCTAAGACGTTCACAGTCCAGCTGGTCAGGCGAGGACCATATCTTTCCAATTTCCTAGAAAACATAGCAGTATTTATCTGCACAAGCTTGAGACTGGTTCATGGGTAAATGCAGACCTTAGATTATTTCTGGAACTGTCAGGTAATGTTCCTAGTTCCTCTGCACATGAGCAGCCATAGAATGGGGCAAGATAACTTGCTCTGCTATACAGGACAGAAAACAAGTTGTGCCATGTTACCTGATACATAGTTTTCCAGAGCCCAGTTCTTAGTTCCTCTCAATTACTCAGAGTTTAATAGGAAAAGAAAAATTTTTGAAAGAAAAAAAGAAAGAGAGAGAGAGAGAGAGAGAGAGAGAGAGAGAGAGAGAGAGAGAGAGGCAGAAGGAAGGAAGGAAGGAAGGAAGGAAGGAAGGAAGGAAGGAAGGAAGGAAGGAAAGAAGGGAAAAAAACAGCATAAAAAATCAGCACCTGGAAACATGTTGAAAGAGACAGAGTAGAGAACAGATGTGTGAGCTCTGCTTTGTCAATCAAGGAAACACAAATAAAACCTGCAGCAAGGTTGTCTCCTCAAACGTTCTAAGCTGTCTGTGTAAAACACAAGGAATGATTATTTTGAAGACGTGGAGAAAGGAGACCCTTCATATGTTGTTGGTGGAAATGTACTGTAGTACCGACATTAAAGAAGATCATGTATGAGTTCCTCACAATGACTGTATGTATGATCCCAAACAGCACCCCTGGGTCTATACCCAATAGAAAGGGAAGCAGGTGTGAGGGACAGGTCTCATGCTCACTGTAGCATCGGTCACAATGAGCAACATGTGGGATTGACCTGAAGGTTCACCGAGAGAGATAAATTGATAATGACAAAAAGCCTTACGCACACTGTAAAATACTATGCAGTCATGTGAAAGAAAGAAATCATACCATCTGCATGACATAAATAAACCTGGAAAAATAGTAAGTGAAATAAGTCAACCAAAAAAAAAAAAAACAGACCAGATGAAGCCTGGGAATCCAGTAGTGTGTAGTTGAGGGGTGGTTTTGTGCAGTGTGTGTTTAAATGTTGATTTCTTTGCCCAGACATCTGGTTGTGGTCCAGACAGCATGGTCAACCATCTCTGGTTTCTATGTTACAGAAAAACTCTTTCCCATCACTCCTGATTGGTTAATAAAAGAGTTGATCAGCCAACTCACTGGGCAGAAAAGGGTGAGACTTCCCACTGGAGTCAGGAGGGTGAGGCAGTCCCAGAGAGACCAGAGAGGAGAGGAGAACAAGGGGGAGAAGGTGTGGAGAAACCACATGGAGAGAACAGAAGGATTTGCCATGAGATCACAATGAGACAGCAGGCATAAGGATACACATGGATCAGAGTGAGCTAAGGCAAGACTCAGATTAAAGGTAACGAAGTATGTGGATGGGAAATAGGCAGTCTTGAATGGTTTGACAGTTCAGTGACTCCCCAGCAAAGGCTTGCAGCTTGTTAATAAGTATACCAAGTCTATATGTCATTTATACGGGAGCTAGAACCAGCTAATCCAGGTGTAGAAATACCCTGCAGTTATTTGGGAGCAATAAGGGGTATTGAAACCCCCCAAAGAGTTATAGTTACATAGTGCCTGGGCAGGCACAACAGCAACAGTGTACTTCTGCTCCTGATGGACTAGAAAAGGACACAGCTTCTCCCCACACTTAGATTTCCACTCTTGACATATCTTCGTGGATGCAGGTTCCTTCACCTTCCCCCTCACTGTTCTGCAAGCAGATGCACAGACTCAGCTATTTCCTGTGTCCCCATGAAAACAGAAAGGAAACAGATGGGAGCGGCAGGCATGCTGCTTCTGCAAGACTGAGATGACGAGGCTGTTTCTGTCCATTTCTAATGTGTTTCTTTCACATGCTGAGCTTTCCCTTGTTCCTGAGAGTGAGTCTCTCACCCAGACATTTCACAGATCTGATGCTCTCCTTCCTCCACTGAGGTCCCTCCTCACAGCTGAGAGAAGAACAATAGGTACAATGAGCATTGGCTTATCTGCCAACTCACTTCTGAGAACACATGTAGAACTTTGTCTATCGGAGCCTCTGCCCTTGGCTTGCTTCCTCCCAGAACTCCTGGGTCATCATTAACCTGATGCACATATAGCACCCCTACTGCTAATGTTATTCTTACATTTAACAAAGCAATAACATTGACATAGAAATAATTACAAAGAAATAAAGTACACTGCCCTCTCCAATAGCAGGTATTCATAAAAGAAAAAATATCCAATGTTCTTGAGTATACGTACGCCAGGTTGCAGTTATAAAGTATTGAACTTGACCCTGACACTTGATCCTGTTAGTCTACAGCCTTGAGATCAGGAAGAACCACCACATGTAAAAAGTAGCATGCAGGCCCTCCTTCTCTGAGTAAAGCAGATGTGCATCACTCAGATATGAGGCAGATGAGTAGAGGGTGTGCTCAGAATCCCACACGCCATGATATTCCAGACATATTCTCTGATTCTAGTCAATCCCAAAGTGTCACTATGTGGACAACGATCTCTTTTGAAACCTAATTTCAAGTTTCACCTGGTCTGAAGACAATTTCTTTCTGCTACTGGGAACCCAGTCTGAGAGGATAAAGACTTAACACTCTGAGCTCTCTTCATCTGGATTGGTAAGGGGAGCCCTATGCTAGTAGCAAGCAAACTTCACAGTAGAATACTTAAGATGTTAAACAACTAAACACAACAAGATAGCCCATTGCCTGACACAGAAAAACCCGATGATAGCACATGGATATGATTTATATTTCTGAAAGGACTCACACACTAAATGCTCAGGCAGAAAGGCTGTCAATTTGATATTTCTTTCATGATGGAATATCAACTGAGGACTCATTTCCATGAGACTGACCTATGGGCATGTCTCTGAAGCCTGTTCTTCATTGCTAATTGACATAGGAGGGTCCAGCCTACTGTGCGTGATACCATCCATAGGTCAATGCTTCACAAGAAAGCTAGCTAAACCCAACCTAGAGCAGGACAGCAAGCAGCTTTACCACATGGTTTCTAGTTTGAGGTCCTGCTTTGGTTTCTTTTTATCATAAACTATAACTTGCAAGCCAAATAAACTGTTTCTTCCCTTAAGTTGTTTTTGGTCATGGTGTTTATCATAGCAACAGAAATCAAATTAAAACATGTTTTTTATCCTGACATGAGCAAGTGTTTACTGTCAGCATCAAATCAGGGTCGTCTGCTCTTTATAGGAACTAATATGTCCCAGTCAGAGTGACTCACGTGTAGACACTGATGTGAACTATGGATGCTGTCTTGGGGTCAGGAAACTGAAAACTCACACACTAAACTCAGTGAGAACCAGGTCCATGCTTCTCACACCTTTCTCAGGGTTCCTCAGACGAGTGGCCTTTTAACCTTCACTACATCATTAAGGGTTGATCTAGCAGTGTGAGCTCTTTGTCAGCATCATCTCTCTAATTCCCATGGTAATCCAACATCCACTAAACTTCAGATTGGAAAGTGTTGCCACACACAAATCTGTACAATGTTGCCTGTTTTATTTTCATAAACTTCTCTCAGCACTCTAAAAATGAAAGATTTTGATGTGTGCATGGGTTTTTTCAATATAATGGGCCTGAATTTGGATTAACTAAATAAAATGTTTGAGGCCCAAAGTTTTTCTAATTCTAGGTATTTCTGGATATTGAGATATCTGAATACCCATTATGAGGTATCTAGGGCTAAGGATCCATTCTAACTAAACGCTATGCACATAGTCTAAAGGCATCCCATACCATTCTTTCATGCATCTGTATTTTGATTGTGGCCTATTATGTGTAGATTTTTATGAATACTATCATGTTGGTACCCAAAGTTTTAGATTTTGGAACATGTTATATTAGGGATTTTCAGATTATAGACAGCTCATCTTTACCAAAGATGTGCACAGCCTGAACATAAGAAAGGAGCTGTCTAAATAAACCAACAGTAAAAAGAACTACATCGGCTGCCAGGATTGTTATCTGGAGAGTTCCCTGGGGCTTCTCTTTCACACACATTTCTCTCTAGAAGCTGAAGACTCACACACTAAACACAGTGAGAACCAGACCCATGGTTCCCAAGCTCTTCTCATGCTTCCTCAGAAGAGCGGTCTTTCAGGTACTTGTTACATCATTGGGGGTTGGTCCAGCAGTGCAAGGTTTTCACCAGTATCATCCAACACCCACTGAACTTCAGATTGGAAAGGCTCACCACACACAAACAGTAAACACACAGTACAGTTCCTAAATAAAACACAAACACCTGGAAAAACACTGCCATTGTTCCAGCTTCTCGAGGCCCCTTGCCTTGTCTGTGGGCCTACTGGCCTTTAATGAATATGAATGAGTCCCATATAAAAATCATACTCTAATTCAGTATAAGTTAGAGCTCCTGAATGAGACTCCTAAGTATTTGTACAAGTTAATTAGAACAGAAACTGCCAGGTATGTTCTCTTCAGCTGTCAGTCTTTGGTGTCTACCAGTGTCCTCAGTTACTTAAGCCCACAATGGGCTAGCAGGTGTATATAAAGTATCTTGCCAAGGCAATGGCTTCTCAGGGAAGGTAATGCTGGTCTATAGGAATCCTTCAGCCATTGATTAAACAAGATGTCACACACTACAAGGAAACAGTATCTCTGAGACATAAGGAAACTGAGGCACATATGAACTCACAGAGACTGTGAGAAGATGCATCAGACCATCATGAGTCCAACCTAGACAAAATCCCACCACTGAAAGAGAGAAGTGAACATAAAGCCCCACCCCTAACCAAGAAACTGTTTGCAACCGATACACACTGGAAAAGGGAAAATCAGAGGGCTACACACTGTATTAGCCACACTGCAGGGCAGGGCCTATGTTCAGGAGTAGTTGACAACACAAAAGGAACTTTATGCTTTTGTTTTTCTGCCTTTTATTTTGTATTGTTTTGTTTGTTGTGTTTGTATTCTTGATTCTTTGTTTGTTTAGATTTTCATTTTCAGATGTGTGATGGAATAAGGGAAAAAACATGAAATTGGCTGGATAAGGAAGTAGGAAGGATCTGGGAGGAATTGGTGGATGGAAAAGAATATTATCAAAATAAACTGTATAAAAATTAATAAAAATTATTTGCAGTGAGATGGAGTCAAGTGAGGATAGTGGGATGAATATGATAAGGTATAATATATACATGTAAGAAATATCATAATGAAACTCATTTAAAAATAATTAAAATGTGCTAGTGAAAAATGAAGAAATAATAAATCCTACCTTTCCAAAACATAGATGTTTCAGTTAGTGTTTTACTGTTGTGAACAGATACCTTGACCAACGCAACTCTTTTAGGGACAACATTTAATTAGAGCTGGCTTACAGGTTCAGAGGTTCACTTTACTATCATCTAGACAGGAGCATAGCAACATCCAGGCAGGCATGGTGCAGGTGGTGCTGAGAGTTCTACTTCTTTATCTGAAGGTTGCTAAGAGAAGACTGGCTTCCACAGTCTACATCCACAAGGCCACACCTACTCCAACAATGTCATACCTTCTAATAATGTCACTCTCTGAGCCAAGCATATAAAAACCATTATAATAGATAATAGATAGGTGATAAAAAATAAATTTATAGATGGATCAATAGATGGGTAGGTAGGCGTGATGAATGAACAGATAGACAAATGGACAGATGAATGGATGGACAAATGGATAATAGATGAGATGGAAGTTGATATGATAGACATACAGAGGGACAGAAAGATAGATAGATAGATAGATAGATAGATAGATAGATAGATAGATGAACAGAAACACAATCTGTATAGTAGCACTTGCACATTCCTGTGGTTTAAACACCCCCACTTCCTACAATCATTACATCACTGAACACAGAGCTCAGAAGCCCTACTCAGTCGCAAGCATACAGCAGCAAAGTACCACCATCATGCAGATAACATGAATGCAAGTAGTCTCTAGACAGATGCAGTAAATTGCCCCAAAACCAGGAAGTTATGTGTCCCAACTATTTGTTACTTTTGATTTTAACATCATTTATGCAATCATACTTGTCTATAATTTGATTTTTAATAATGCAAATGATTAACCACTACTTGTAAAACTTCTAAGACTTTAACAACCAGATCTCATAACTGAGTACTAGCCAAGCCTTGCATACCATGAGGTCTGCAGGCTGCACTTCCATCATGACCACACACTGGAGTACCCTGGTTCTTAAGAATAAACTATAACTATAGAGTAACCACAATATCTTGCCTAAGCCAATACCCCTGCCTTGCCTGGGCCAACTGTGATGAATTCAAAATGTTCTGAAACATAGAAGACAAACCTGGTAGTGGTGATGGACCAAAGTGACTCCTTGCAAAGCAGATAAGATAAGGTGCCTCATCCCACCTTGCTTGCAACTCAGGGAAGCACACAGAATGTCCTTTGTCAAAGAAGGGTTTTCTGTCAAAAGAAACAGAACAAATTAATAAACAATTCTCACTTGACCTGCTCAGTCTCAGAAAATTGTTCTTCAAAAATCCAAAATGATCCAAATTCCTAAAAATTTCTTAAATCATCAAGACGTGCAAGCAGATAAGGGTGAAACTGCACCTATTAGAACATTTTGGTTTCAGCACGGCACTGGGGAGGCAGAGGCAGGCAGGCAAATCTCTGAGTTTGAGGAGAACCTGGTCTACAAAGTGAGTTCCAGGACAGCCAGGGCTGTACAGAAAAAGCCTGCCTCAAAAAAATTTTTTTAATAATTTAAGGTAATTGCAAGTGGTAATTTGAATAAAAATGGCCTCATAGACTCAAATGTTGGAATGTTTAGTTCTGAGGTGGAACCATTTGGGAAGGGTTAGAGGACACGGCCCTGGTGGAGGCGATGTGTCTCTGGGGGGTTGGCTTTCAGACTTCAAAAGTCTATACCATTCCTGGTTAGCCTTCTCTGCTTTGTGATTGTGTCTCAAGATGTGAGTGCTCAATTAATGTTCCAGTGCTATCCCTGCCTGCTGCCATGTTCCCTGCTATGATAGTCATGGACTTTAACCCTCTGAAACTGTAAGCCTCAAATAATATCTTCTATAAGTTACCTTGGTAAAGGTGCCTTATCACAGCAACAGAAAAGTGACTAAAACATTACTGTTGATTACCTCAAATAATATCATTTTTAGTACTGAGAACATTCAGAACCCTCTCGAATATCTATTCAGAAATATCTACCTGGCTGTGGTAGCCTCTAAACTAAATCAGTAGGAGAAACACGGTTGCCCCACTGGGCTTTAGAATAATGCAAGTTACTCCTCATATCCAACTGCCTGTTGGATCTCTGTCTCTGAAAGATATCAAGCTCTGTAGCCTCTGGTCCCCACCCTTCTACTGCCCACTTCACCATGTTAGCCTATCAGCTTCCACATATACATAAATATTCAGTGTTTGGGTTTCAATGTCTGGCTTCCTTGCTTAGCATAACATCCAGTATTTCTATCCATGATGGTGCAAATGACAGAAACTCATTTTTAAAGGATAAATTCCATATCACTGTGTATACATTTTATATTCTCTTTATGCACTAAGACCTTTTAAGTCTAAAGTGTAAATAAATACTTGTCTGGCCTAAATCAGTTGAATAGAAATCAATTTATAATCTCTGCTTTTCCAACATATCCTTTCTTCCTGTGACCCCCTAGGTGGAATTCCCCCATACTATCCTTTCTTCTCATATCTTCTATGGGACAGATATACATTCACTCATAGACTTCTTGCTTTTTATCCTAACATAGGTAGAATCATTGCACTCATTCTTTGTCAGAGTGCTCTTGTAGAAGAATGAATTATATTTGTTATGTGTTGGCTTCCCCCTCCTCCACACTTCACTAGCCACATCTGGAAAGATCCCTGGCATTTCCCTGATTCAGTCTTCACACCTCCACTCAACTTCCTAATACCTCCAGATTCTGGGTCTCCCTCCAATGCCCCATCTGGTCACACCCAGGGGACTACCAGACTCCTAGCAGGTCCTGTCCATATCTCCCAGCCATCGCCAGTTATCCTCTTCCTTGAGATAGGTTACAGCAATCTCACAGGTTCCATGCTGTGCTCCAAGTTCTTCCCTAGCCACTAGCCACCTCTACGTCCTGAGCACTAAAAATCTATGTTCCTCATGTCCCCATCCCCAGCCTGTGCCTTCTGCAGGGGACTTCTGCCTCCCTTCTAACTGGTTACCTCTCAGAAGTCAGCTTCATCTAGCCCACACATAACCTTTCCCTTTTCTTCCCTGGCTATCTAGGGCCCTGGGAGCTCATCTCCCTGCACACTTCCACTGTCTGGGTTTCAGCTCTGCTTTCAAGTATACTTGGCCTTGAACACATGGCTTAGTACCTTCTAGATGCTGGGTCATTATAGAAAACAACATATATTTTGATAAATAACTAAACAATAATTTTTCAAAGAGCAAAAAAATTAATTCTTACAAATATTAAAAAGAAAAAAAAACAGTCTTAGTCTGGGTAGTATACCACAAAGATAAATCCAAACTGAAAAGGCTCTACTTTATCATAGCATGGTAATGCACACCTACAATCCTGTCATCTGTGAGGCTGAGACAGGAGGATCATGAATTTAGGCTCAGCTTAAACCATAGATGGAGACATTGTCTTCCCAACACACACACAAGCAAGAAATGAAGGAAGGGAGGGAGGGAGGAAAAGAAAGAAAGATGAAAGACAAGATGTCTCCTTGTGTAGTGACATGGCCTTAGGGTGGCCTTGTCTTGCAATACTCCCCCACACCTGCTCCACATTGTACGGACAACCCTCAAGGCATTATCACAAGAACCTCTAACAGTCTTGTCACTAGCAACAACTCAGCTTGCACCTGGACCCCTGCCCTCCAGGGTACCCTCTTACTTTCTTCCTCCACCTCTCTTTTCATTTTCAAAACCTCACTCCAGTCCCTTCTGCCACAGCTTGTCCCTCTTCTGACCTGAAGACACATTAGATATCTGTCCTGGATTTCCAGGTCTGCCACCTTTCTCTACAGTGCCACACTGTGTCCTCAAGTCTTCACTGATCTCCTTAGCTGGTGAGGTACTCTGACCTTGAACCCCTCTCTCTCTCTCATATCTCTCTCTCTCTCTCTCTCTCTCTCTCTCTCTCTCTCTCTCTCTCTGTTTGTGTGCCTGTCTCTATGTCATGTGCATGTGTGTTCCCATGTGTGCTAGTTCACATGGAAAGCAGGTAGATGTTGGGTATCTTTTTCAATCCTTTCTACATCCTTTTTTCTAAGACAATGGCCTTGACTTGAAGCTATCTGACTAGTTACTCCCAAAAATCTCTGAAGACCCACCTGTCTGTGACTCCTCCCCAACACTAGGACCCCCAAACATGGAACACCACAACCAACTTTTACATAAGTGCTGGAGATCAGGTCCTCACACTTCAACACAAGTGCCTGGCCCACTCAGCCCTTTTTCCATCCCTGACTTTGAACTCTTCATTCCAAGCAAGACTCCTGTTCTCTGTTCCTCAGCTCATTAACTGATGACATGAGGCTATTAAAGTGGAAAAGTGGATGCCCACTGACAGCTGCTGCTTCTGCTTCTGCTTCTTCTCCTTCTCCTTTTCCTTCTCCTCTCCCTCCCCCTCCCCCTCCTCCTCCCCTTCTTCCTCCTCCTCCCCCTCCTCCCTTCCCCTCCTCTTCTTTCTCCTCCTTCCCTCCCCCTCCCCTTCTTCCTCCTCCTCCCCCTCCCCCTCCCCTTCCTCCTCTTCCTCCTCCTCCTCTTCCTCCTCTTCCTCTTCCTCCTCTTCCTCCTCCTCCTCCTCCTTCTTCTTCTTCTTCTTCTTCCATGAACTTAATATGCACTAATATTATCACTTCTGTCATCTAACACCAGATGGAATAGAAAAAATGACACTGGATTCAACTCTGTGTCAGCAATGACATTAACACCTCAAATGGCTAGACTCCTGGTGTGACAGAAGAGCTATCTACCTGTTCAGGTCCAGTGCACCTCCTATTTTACTGAGAACCTCCTGGTTCCACCGTGATCTACTCTATGGAACAGAGTCTGCTCTAGTGAGGAAACTGAAGCATCACTCTCAACAATAGCCATTTCTGAGTAAAATATAAAAACTAAAAATTAATTTTCTAATGACATTTCATATATAGTATATTAATTTAGCATCTGTGACCCAGAATGGCAAAATACACAAAAATCTAGAAAACTGTTTCATTCATTGAAAATTCATTACTTTCGCCAACTATGAAATGTCAACACAATTGCATCTTCAAACACAGCTCAGTTGCATATTCCAGAAGAAGCAGAAAGAGATTTGATTTAATGTTCTCAAGCATGTCTTCACATAGTGATATTTTACTGAGCAGCCTAGTATATTCTCCCATATGTAATACTTAGTGTTTGGCAGTACAGTCCATGTTCATAGACAGCTCAAATTGGAAAGAAAAATTTAGGTCTATAGATAGAGATATTAGTCTCACCTACATAATGGTTTTAGGTTTCAGTTACAATATCTGTATTCACTTTGGCCCTCTATCCCTCACTTTCTAATGTTTCAATCCAAAAGATTAGTCAGTTCCTAGGTCCAAAGAAACATTCCTATTACAAGAAGAAAGGCAATGAGCATACCAGAGCTAGTCCTCCCCATATCTCTCCAAAGAGCCAGATCTCAGTGTCTTGAAGGCTGCATTTCCCAGTAGAGAACAGGAAGCCCCATTCTCAAGCTGCCCTAGCACCAGGGAAGGAGAGTTAGAATGTATGCACCACACACATGTCCCCAATAAGACCCCAGGGAGATCTTGTGTGTTACAGCCTCCTCTTATTTAGTCTTCTCAACTATTTAAAATAGATGTTACAGCTGGGCAGTGGTGGCGCACACCTTTAATCCTAGCACTTGGGAGGCAGAGGCAGGTGGATTTCTGAGTTCGAGGCTAGCCTGGTCTACAGAGTGAGTTCCAGGACAGCCAGGACTATACAGAGAACCCCTGTCTTGAAAAAAACAAAAATAAAATAATAAATAAATAAATAAATAGGAAAATAAATAAATAAATAAATAAATAAATAAATAAATAAATAAATAAAATAGATGTTACCTTACCTTCTTTGAGGCTCAGAAAAATTCTGCTGCATGCCTTGTGTCTGTCAGCTAGCCTGAAGCCCTGAACAGACTATTTAATATCAAGTTCTCACTCCTTCCAGTACACCAGTTGCTATGATGTCACTGAACAAAGCCAGGTTTAATTCTGTGCCTCTAAACACTAACCAATAAAGCCTTGTGCTACACAGAGCTATATTACCTTTACTTACCAATGAAGCAGCCTGGCCTCAATGTGTCCATCCCACAGCCAGCACTCACTCAATGACTCACTCAGCCTTTTGTAGACATCAGTTGAATATCTACCATGCCTACGTCAAGGTTCATCTAGATATGGGGCATCACATCAGTTAATACATATACTGATCTCCAGCCTTAAGGTTACAGCTGCATGCCTCCATAGGGGTTTTATTCCCCAACATCTTCTCTCTTCTGCCCTTCCCTCTCACCCACAGTATCCTCCTTCAGCAAATACCACTGATCAGTAGAAGAATTTGCATAGTGTTGTGAGATTGCATTTAAAAAAAATAATTAGAAGGCTGGTTCCTGCCTAAGTTTCATTTCTCTTTCCTTCTGCCACAGATAGATGCTTTTCTACATAGCTGGATCCTAACCATGGCCACTCACACAGGCCAGTGAGACCACTCTGAGGCTAGTGATCTTTCCTTACTGATGGTGGACTCTTGTATATATTCATAGTCTCCTTCCTGGGTAAGCTAGACTCCTCCTTGGGATATCTTTTCCAATCCAACATTCTGTTCATTTATACCAAATAAGAGCCGAGAGTATGCAGATGGCCCTTCCAATGTTTCATAAGTACTACCACACAAAGTGAGTGTGTAGGAGCACTCATGGACAGCAACACCACACACACACAGGTTACACACTTAGGAATCTCATAGATAGCAACACGAGTGTCTGAGGACTCCTGGCATTCACTCGTTCAATAAAAGAATACCTAACTGACATCTTGGGTTCTATTCACACAGCCCTTGCAAACAGGGGTAACATGTTCACAACAGCACACAAGCTGGCATGTACACAAAATTATTTAAATAGCAATGTGAAGTAAGAAGTGCTTACAAACATATGTTTACCTGTTGGAGAAAGCTCCAAGAAAAACTAAATCAGTCTAGGGGGACAGTTAGGGTACTCTTCTTCAATGACAACATCAACAGTGAATGTGCCACCATGAAACTGGCAAGTATGTGATTTATAAGTTCAAAGTTACCCTAATAAGCATGAATTAATTCATTCATAATATTGAACAATATGATGAGTGTTGTGAAGATGTATAACATACCATAAGATTGATGCTGTTCTCACTGTGCATATGAACTACTGAGGAAAGGAAGTACCAGTCATGAAAAGGCAGTGAGTGCCAAGGTTATGGGATTCAAGTCCCTGCACAGACTACTCAGCAGTGAGGGACTACAACATCCATGCAAATACTGCATACAATGAATGATTGTATCATGGTTTCTGCCTGAAGGAAACAGTGACTCTAACAGGAGAGAGACATAAAAGAAATAAAAGCAAAAAGAGTTTTCTTTGGTTGACAATGTGTCATGGCTCTTGAACCCAAGCCGAGCTGATAGTCCTATCTGAGACATTCCTAACTCTCAGCCCCAGAATATGGCTAGAGTTAAGTTTGAGAAGACAGAAGAAACAGATTCTATAAACAAAGATACAGGGACCAGAGAGGCACAGTGTTTGGAAGGGCTATCTAGTTTGACAAGAGCAGGGGTCACTGAGGTTGGGAAGGGTGGGCCAGCCCTCTCTGGGCCTAGTAGCAAGGCTGAGAAACATATGCTTTGTTTTGAATGAAGCTCAGCATCAATCTATTCATCTCTCTGACAGGCAAGCTGTGACTACTGGGACAGGGCAATCACAAGTGCTTTCTACATAAGCAACCCACCTGCAAAGATGATGAGCACCCGCAGAGCCATCATCTCCACTCTGTGCAGCATCTCCACAGTTTCCACAGGCTTCTGCAGCTGCCGGAAAACTTGACACATCTCAAAAACACTTAGGAAAAACAGATCATGGTGTTAATGGATAAGTGTGTAACTTCTGAGCATGGCTGCAGGGTAGAAGGCTAAGTTATAACACATATAAGAACTGTCTCCCAATCCAACACTACCATGTTTGCTTTGTATAAGCAAAGAAAACTGGTAGGTAAGTAGGCTGAACTTCCAGATAGCATTCTGCTCCTTCTGCAGTTTTATTGCTGCTGCTAATACACTTGGTGTCTGCTTTTTCTTCTTGCTCCATTCTCTTGAGATACAAGAGCTGGTTGTTGAAGTGGTTAAAGTATGATGACAACTATTGAGAGGATAAAGCCTGCACTCGGTAACAGTGAAGGCAGATTGAGGCAATGGTGTTAAGTGAAATAAGTCAGGGACAAAATGAGAAATATCATATGTCATCACTTATATGGATTCTAAACAAGTTGGTTTCATAGAAGTTGAGAATGGAAGAATGGTTTCTAAAGACTAGGGTCATGATTAGGGAGTGGACTGAGTCCCAGCTAGGAGCAAAACATATTGTTCTATGACACAGTGAGATAAGTATAGTTAATAGAACACCTGATAAATTTCAAAACACCTAGATGAAATGTATTTCAATGTTTGAAGGCTAGATCATAATCATTTATGTGTGTGTATGTATGTATGTATGTATGTATGTATGTATGTATGTATTGCCGGGCAGTGATGGCACACGCCTTTAATCCCAGCACTTGGGAGGCAGAGGCAGGTGGATTTCTGAGTTTGAGGCCAGCCTGGTCTACAGAGTGAGTTCCAGGACAGCCCGGGCTACACAGAGATACCCTGTCTTGAAAAAAAAAAAAAAGACTGATTTGGTAGATTTGGTATTGTGGCCATTAATTTGTCTACAGCCATACCACCCTGAATGTGCCCGATCTCATCTGATCTTGGAAGCTAAGCAGGGTCGGGCGTGGTTAGTACTTGGATGGGATTCTGCCTGGGAATACCGGGTGCTGTAGGCTTTTTGTTCTTTTTGGTTTTTCGAGACAGAGTTTCTCTGTGTAGCCCTGGCTGTCCTGGAACTCACTCTGTAGACCAGACTGGCCTCGAACTCAGAAATCCACCTGCCTCTGCCTCCCAAGTGCTGGGATTAAAGGCGTGTGCCAACACTGCCTGGCATGTATGTATCAAAGAACAACTTTATTCCCCATAAATAAACATCGATCAAAATTAAAATAGTAAGTTTTTGAAACATGTTTGATCATATGTTGACGTACACATCTGCAATCTAGCACTTGGCAGACTGACTCATAAGATCATGACTAGCCTGGGCTATGTAGAAAAAGCTTATCTCAAGAAGAAGGAAGAGGAGAAAGAGGAGGAGGAGGAGGAGGAGGAGGAGGAGGAGGAGGAGGAGGAGGAGGAGGAGGAGGAGAAGGAGAAGGAGAAGGAGAAGGAGAAGGAGAAGGAGAAGGAGAAGGAGAAGAAGAAGAAGAAGAAGAAGAAGAAGAAGAAGAAGAAGAAGAAGAAGAAGAAGAAGAAGAAGAAGAAGAAGGACAAGAAGAACAAGAACAAGAAGAACAAGAAGAAGGGAAGGAAGGAAACAAGGAAGGGAGGGAGGGAGGAAGGGAGGGAGGGAGGGAGGGAGGGAGGGAGAGAGGGAGGGAGGGAGGGAGGAAGAAATGAAGAAGGAGTGGAGGGAGAGAAAGGAAGAAAAGAAGAAAGAAAGGAAGGAAGGAAGAAAAGAAAGAAGGAAAGGGAGTATATATGATATAAAGTGAAAGTTTGATCCATGGAGCACTGAAAATCTCAATTGAAAGCTGAGTTCAGAAAACAGAAGTGGCCAGGATTACCTTCAGTTGGAAAGAAAATCCCAAGCAGAACAGGACACTCAAGCACTGTAGTTGAGGATCAAAGACAGTGAGGAGATAAAGCAAGAGTCCCTGGAAGCCAGCATTTAAAATGTGAAATAATGAGACATCTGTTTCACCGAGTAAGGACATCATTCCAAGCCATAAAAAATTATCATATTCAAAGGATAATTCTGTAGCAACAGAACTAACAGCCTGTCTGGTGGCAAATGAGGCAGTATTTATATAACACCTCTAAATTGCCACATGAGGTTGAGAGAAAGTAAACAGGCAAGGACCACAGGATAGCTAGCCTTCCTACATCCAGGAATCACAGCTGAGTCAGGGACAGCATCCTGGGGTTCTGTACATCAAAGGGCATAAATCCTCCAGCCCAAGGCAGCAGGATTTAGTGACACTGGAGCTTCTAAGAACAAGTTTCCAACAAAGTATGGTAGCACATACCTTTAACAGTAGTACACTGGACAATGAGGATTGTGAGTCTATGCCAGTCTTTTTATCTAACGTTTAGGGATGGAAGAGTGTAGAGGCAAATCATCACTGAGGGCTGAGTTTAAGGAGCACAGGAGTCATTTGCTGTCCCTTTCTTATGGGTGGTTACAACAGCAAGCATAATCTTGTGACTGAACTGGATAATCCACATTCATGACTACATACCCAATTGTGGCACCTGTAGCTGCTGTGATATGTGTGACTGACACACCCGACTTGTCAATATTTTACAATTCATTATGTTATTATTTTATTGGCACATAATAACCAATACATGTTACCAAGATACAAAGTAGTGCTTCTGCTGCAATACATGCATAAGTGCAGTGGTCAGTCTATCCCTCTCAAACATGAGGTGTATATCCAGTCTCAAAACAAGTGACTAGAGGCAAAGGTTTTTACTTTTGGATTTAAAATTTTTTAATGCAAACCATACTTGGACGCCAAATAATGAGGCAAACATGGAAAAATATTGTTGACTTGGAATATTCTGTGTGAATGCTGGCTTCAAAGGGTGACAGAAGTTAAAATTGAGAAAACTGTGTACTCTGGTTTGGTATGAGTACTTCTTGTGATGTAAAACGTTACAGTACAAGAGTAAGGAATAAGTTAAGAAATAGGGATTAAAATACCTTTGCTCAGCTTCTGGGACTTTCTGCCAGTGTTCAATGGATACAAATAATGCCTTCAGGAATTTCTGGAGGTATGACATTGGTTCCATGCCCTGAGGAATTGCCATCATTTCTTCCTTGGTCCTCCCATTCTCTGTCGATGTGACATTCTGATGAGGGGCTGAGTTAGGGAAACTGTTGTAATCTGGATGAAACAAAGTGTGTGTGAAATGTGTCCACTGAGTGTTGTTTAGGGGCAGCCCTTCCCTTGAGAAGCCTGCCCTGCTGAGACCAATCAGGACTGCCTTTGCAAGCTGAGAGCGAGTGGTGTTCTGAATCAGTGACAAATCAGAAAATGAATCCTGGTGGAAATCATCTTGATAGTCACTGTGAATTCTACTAGAGTCCTCTACAATGGATTCTATGGTTTTTAAAAGGTCATTTGGATGCTGGGCAAATATCAACAGGAGATTAAAAATATCCCAGTTATCTTCCTTTAAGCCATTCCAAAGAGCTTGTAAGGTGAGATCAATCACCATTTTCAAGAAAGTCTCTCTTTCTGTGCTGTTATCTGTTAACATGCCATCCAAAAAATGAAGCACATCATGACTTCTCTCCTGTTTTGGTGTCTGAAGGCAGCTGGTAGAAGAGAGCTCACAAAGCTTCAAGAACTCCATTTGGGTAGTGATGTTACTTATAGGCATGAAACAATCTAGAATTTCTTCCCATAAGTCAGCAGCATCAATAGAGAAATTCTGAGTCCCATTTTTAGTCATTGCCACAAGATGCTCCCAATCTCTCAAGCTGATTTTTATAGAAATTAAGTTTTTAGCTATTTCTTCCAAAATCTCAGAAAAGTCTCTGGATTGATTGACATATGAAAGTATGCTAGATGACATGCTGAAAACATCAGAGTCCTGTGATACATTAGGTGTGATTCCAATCATTCCAAAGGCCAAGTCAAGAAATGGTATCAACAAATCCTTTGTCTTTTCAAATATGAAAGGATCTACTTTTTTCAAAGTAGTTATTTGCTTCACATGATGTTGAACACTTTGTAGCATGATAGAATACAAGGTGTCAAAGACTTTTCCAGAGTCCTCTGTACTAGAGATAGAGAGAGTTCCCAGCATCATAGCCACCTTTCTTGAGACATTTTTGGCTAGGTTGAGAAGTCTCACCATGGAGTCCACTGATGAGGCAAGGTGGCCTAGTTCAGCAGTGCTATTCACCAGCATAGTCAGAGTTCTAGATATTTCTAAGGCTGACTTCATGACATGACTTTTTTCACCAACTTGGGAAATGGTGCCAAATAACCTCATTGTTGATTCTAGTATTTCTCTGTTTCTTAGAGGGAATGAACTGTTGGCAACAGAAAACAATTCACTTAACTTAGCAACCATGGTATGATGAATCACAGGATAAGGGGAGTAGCAGGCCTGAGTAGTTGAGTGTAAGATAGTGTCCATAATAGTAGCCATTTCTGCAGAACTTTCCTGTACAAGGTGAAGAACTAACCGGAGATTTTGGTTGAATTTAGAGAGGTCCTCAGAAGTATTCACCTGGGAGAGAAACTGAGCCACTACTGTAAAGAAGTCCAAGTGGCCTTCAGTGTCAGTTTTCACCATGGGCTCCCTTGGATGGGTGTGAGATAAACCTTTCAGGACTTCAGAGAATTCTCTGTGGTCTAATGAAAATGAGTCCTTAATCAGATAATATATTGTCTTGAGACTTGAGAAAATGTTCATCAGTGGCTTCTTGTTCACCCAGGTAAGGAATGAATCCAGCTTCAGAATTTCAAGAATTTTATCTCTGGGGACAAAACTGAAGTTTTACCTATTTTTTAATTTCATGTTTTATAAATTAGTAATGAAAAGATAAAAGTATGTGATATCATGACTTTGCTTTACAATAGTATCATAGGAAGATGATATTGAGTGAAGGGTTGAGATACTAAAACGGCTCAGATAAAGCTTGACATTTTGTTATCAAATAATGAAAGCAGTGAAGAAATTTCATAGACAATATTGTGATGATTCTTTGAACAATCTGAACAACCTAATATTTGCTTTTAGAAAAGCAATTTAGAAAAACTATATACTGATTCTTTTTTTACTTCTGTTAGATTATTAAGCTTTACAAATAAAAAAAGATGGATAAATTGGCTACATTAAATTTTATAATGCTCTCCAACAATAGAAACAGTGAAGAAAGGGAAGAACCAATTAGATAATTAAATACATAAATATATATTTATATCCATATATACTGATAAACTAGTATTGAGTGTATAAAAAAGATGTGTCAACAACTATCAGTTGACCAACTTATATATTCTGAGGTTCTCAACTCTTAAGAAAATGATATTAAAAATAATAATGAGATTTCTTGCATAGTCTCAACAGGTTTGCAGATCTGACTTCATATAAACAATCCCAAGACAAGATAAGGCTGTAGAGCCACAGTAAGCCTCAAATCTGGTCAGAGTAAGAATTAAGCCAAGATCCTATGAAATCATTATCATTGAGGATATATACATACTATTTTCTACACCAGAACTCTTCTTGTGTGTTTAGGCTACAGAAAGGTCTGCATTTATCAACAATCCCCATCCATTCTCATGTAACCAATCCCACTTAAATGCAGCAGGTCCCAAACATGCTGAAAGTATAAGGTTTAATAAGAGAAGAAGGGGAGAACTAAAGGTAACAGAAAAATAAGAAACAGCATTATCCTTACACGATGATTCTTGATATAATCAGTTAACATCTGGAAAAGCGGAAAGCCTATTTATATCTTGCTCTGAATTTTAAAAGTTCGAGCAGATTACTCAGTCAATCAGTAATGCTCTGTGATCTACCTCCTTGGCAAGGTAGACCAGTAGCCCCAACATGTCCTTTTTTACAAGTGTCTGAGCTGGGTGGACTACAGAGGAGAATCCCTTGAAAGAAAAAGATTGGGAGATGATGGCCATTTTGTAACCCAATATGCCTCCACCCAGTTACAGATACCATAACTAACAAGAGCCTACTGAGAAATGGTTTTGCACAAGTGCTTAAACTCCCTAATGAGTTAACTTCAGGATATTCAGAAGGCAACTTACTAAAAGGGCCTGCCAGAGTCTGTCAGAAGGTTATATGAGTCTCTAAGACCCTCTATCTTAGACACCCCAGAAGCAACTAGGTAGGCAGCTTTAACCCTGTGGATCTCCCTTGACTTCCTCTTTGGACTGAAAACTTTAGCTCATATCACATCTGGTGTTCCTACTGCTCTGGTTGTCTCTTCCTGCATGCTGCTTCTCTGAGGTTCAACATGCTTATCTGGTCTTTAGAGTCATAGGAATCAACTTCCTGTGCTGCATGGTTGCTGTACTGCTTGCCCCCTGTGTGTCTCCCAAGTAATACAACACAGAGGAAATGGGGATTTCACTTGAAAACTTTCATTACTACCATTCAAAGAGATTTTAGAAGATTGTGAATAGAGATATGACTATTTTAATGGTTCCAGACATAAATATCAGGTTAACTGGAAATGAATATATAATTGAAATAGCAACCACCTCATATGTCTTTGTAAATCTATCTAAAATAAAATTTGCACTTGCATGTCTTGTCTTTATAATCTGAATTGAAAAATAATATATGATTGATGAACATAGGCTAGATTTGAATGTTTACCGGTTAAGTGGAAATTGAAATTGTGTTACCTTAATGTAGTCATAAAATGCTCATTGTGAGAAAAATGACATCAAAGACCATTCCAAATGTTGGTACAGAAGCCGTGATAGGTATTTCTCTATTTCAGAAAGTGAGCCCGCTGGGCTGCAACACCAGCATGACTATGTGAAACAAATGTATACTCACCTCATCTCTGCAGTAACATCGCTATGGAAGTCTTTTAGCAGGAGGGATATTTTATTTTCAGGCAATCCATTTAGCAAGGAAGAGAAGAATGTCTCCAGAAGCTGCTTCAGGAAATTCTCTGTGCTTCCTGCAGCTTCTCCATCATCTCTGGACTGTGTGTGGTTCAAGACGAGATTCATGAAATCTGTTATTTGAAGGTGGGTGCCACTGAAACTGGGAGCTGCTTCCTGAGATAACTCAGTAAAGTTACTAACTGAATTCATCAAAATGCTTTCAAGAACCCACTGAACAGCTGAGAGGTCAGTGAGCTGTTCTTGATTTAGCATCTGGCCAAGAAAGCCAACATCAAAATTGCCTTCTCTAGATCGGTTTCTGAGATAGCCCAAATACATAGTAAAATCCTTGGCCAATATACTTAAATCAGTTGAATTCCCACTGGCCACAGCATTGAGTAGTCTTTGCATAAACCTAAAGGAATCTTCATTTTCATACTCATGAAGCCAGTATTTTATGAGAAATAGAAAACCTTCAATAATTTCTGACATCTTCAATGTTGATGAATCTAGGAGTTCCAGAAGTTGAGGAAATTGCACAGTCATGTTTTGAAGACCTGTGCCTTGGATCATTTTGTTAATATCAAAAAGTAATTGTCCTAGACTCAAGTTACTGGTTAGATCTTTGGCAATCTGTTTAAAGTCCAACCACAGTTCTTCAAAGTTGTAAGTTGCTTTATCGTTTTTAAATGAACTACTATCTGTATGATTTCCATTCAGAAAGTTTGTGATTAGAGTACTATTTCTTAAAGTCCAAGTAGGAGAAATCAATTTGAATATTCTTTCCAAATTGGAGTAAACATTATTTTGGGCAGATTTCTCTGTGTTTCTAGTGAAGGTAAGAATCTTGTCTAAGTTACCTAGCTTGTCCAGAATGTTTTCACCCAGTGGGAATTTTGTAAAGTTGATATATTTTAGCCTTTCTATGATTTGCAAAGCACCTTGCTTTATGGTACTACTAGGACAAAGTTCTGGGATGCTGCCATTACCTTGAATTATAGAAGATGACATGAAGGGCAATACCTTATGCCAAAATCCCTGTAAAGTTTTTACAAGTAAACTTTTAACATGAAAAATCTTCAACAGCTCTGAAAAAATGGAATTCCAGTCTGCTAGTTCATGAACAGCACAGACAACTTTCCTGGTTATTTCCACTCTAGACTTTTCATCTGTGCACTGCGAGTTGCTTGGGGGTGGCAGGTGAAGAAGATCCAGCAGACTGGTCACCATGTGAAAAAAGGAAGAAGGCATGTGCTTCTGTATATTACAGCCTTCTACCTTAGGGTTTTTCTCAAGCCTGAAAGTTGCGTAGTTTGAGCACCAAACCCTACTAAGGCATATCAAAGCCTCTGGAACAATAGCTGGCTCATCTGATAACAATTGAACTGTATCCAGAAGAGTTTTAACCACATCAGCAAAGTCTTCCTTCGTGATATTGAACATGGTTATGCCATGAAGAAGGGTGAAGTTATAGACATCCCTGAGACTTTCTGTGATGTTTTTATCTGTGATTCTCTGCAGGAGTCCCACAATGTGGGGAAGAGCATAATATACATCCAACACAGTATCCACCACATCCTTGGGAAGCAGACGGGAAAGACGCAGCAAGTGGCTAACACTCCATGAATGTGAGCTGTCTACAAATTTTTCCACTAAGTCCACGAGCATACTGACCCCTAAATTGTCAATACTTGATCTGCTGAGATTCTTAAAGAAATTCATTAGGATTTTACTGTTTTCTCCAAGCTGGCCTACTAAGAGCTCTATGTCTGCCTTCTTGATAGAATGCATGAAAGATGTCACTTTCTTTAAAGCTTGAGCATGATCTGAATTTTGTGGAATATTGAAATGGACAGCAGGCATTAAAGAATTGAACACATCCCGTGTCAATTGGATACCAAGATGCACAGCTTTCAATATTTCATGTGAGACTATTTCTGAGGAATTCTGAAGATTATAAGTTAAGTTGAGAGCAAAGTAGTTAGCTAAGTTGTAAATTGATTTGCCTAAATGGCTTATATCTTCTTCCTTTGGATTGGTAGAGAATACACTAAACATTGTTTCAGCGTTAGAAAAGGAGTTATTTCCAAGGACATTATGGAAAATGCCTCTTAAAAGCATCTGCATTTCCTTCCCCAATGCTATGATGTGCTGCCAAATATTTTGAAACTGGTCAGGAATGTCATCTGACATTTCTATGGGTCTTAGAAGTAAATTCTTAAAGTGTTTCCAGTTGGACTGAGAGACAATATTGAGATCTTCTGTTAAGTTGGTGATGATCATGCCTACCTGCTTTGTGAAATCATTGAAAAGAGCTAATAAAATCTCAACATTGGGCACATTCTCTTTTTCCAAACCTATAGTAACTATAATATTTAGAAAGTCGGTTATGTCTTTCAGGTAAATATTTACACAATTTATATTTGACTCATTCAATGGACAAATTGGTATCTTCTCATTTAGCATCCAAGTTAAAATTTTCAATGCATAGTTCATTTTGTTCCCCATATCCTTAAAGCTTCTCAATATGTTATGGCTATGGATGGGTAAGGAACTTGAGTTATACAATATACACAGATGGTTTATGGTGTCTATCCATGTGATGCACCCTTCCAGGCTGCTACTTGTATTCTTTGACAAAAATACAGAACTTAACATAGTCAGAATATGTGCTAGCTTATTAGAAGTGTTCACAGGTAATAAGCTATCTTCGAAAATCAACTTACTGGCTCTCTGGAAAATATCAGCACATGATGATAAAGTTCTACCCTGTGACACATTCCTAAGAAATAATATTGTCTCTCTAAGCTCAGTGATGACACTTGCAAATTTGGCTCGATGATCTGTGAGATCATTTGAAAGAAAGTTATTGATCAACTCCATATTTCTATCCACATAGTCTGAGGCATTGCTTAATTCAATGAAAACATCAAACAGGGAATACAAAAACTCCCTGCTTGCATTTATTTTCATTGGAAATGTCTTTAGCTGGTGCAGGGAGGTTTCCATGGTGATGAGAGATTTCTCTACTTGGTCCAGGTTAAGTGATTGTACTGCAGTTAATTCATTACCAAATGCTACCCAAAGATCCCTGAGGTCCTGAAGGCCATCCCAGTCATGAAAGTCATTCTCCTGAGTTACATTTTTAAACAAATTTAATATGAGCCTAGCAGTATGATATGTGGGAACTATTCCTTGGCAGTCTCTAGAAATGTTCCCATAATTTCCCAGGTCGTCCAAAAGCTGAGTGACACTAACATGAAGAGGAGTAAAAATACTCAGGTCAAGTTTAAATATTTGAGAAATGCTTCTCCAGATCTCAGTCCATGTCTGGATCCATATAAGGGTGCAGTGGATGGCTGTGAATTCACTGATCACACTGCCATTTACTGACAGGTTGGAAAAAAAATGTGTCCATGGAAAGGGAAGGGAAGACCTCTCATTTTCTGAATAATTCACAGAAGAAATGATAACATTTTTCTGAATGAAGCATTCACTCGCCAACAGGGTTTCCGCTGAAACATTAAAAAACTGAGTGACATACTGAAGTAAAGAAACACGAAAGCCTTCGTCTGCTGAGAACAGCTGCTTGAGGCCTGTCAAACTAGCATGAATCACTGATTCTGCTGGTCCCCCTCTCATCATCAGGGACTGGGCTTGAAGTTCTAAAAAGTTGAAAATTGAAAGCAACTGCTGACAATAAGATACTTCAGGTATCATCCCGAGAGCCTCCGTTGTCTCTGATAAAAACAAAAGTGCTTCTCTGATGTTTTGGATATTAAACTGCTTAATGAGGTCCAAAATGTCTCTGGAGATTTGAGTAAGGTAAGTTATCAGAGGCTCTCTATTATGAATGTTGAAGAATTCATGAAGATATTGATAGAATGAAGAATAGGTTTGCAGAAATAGAGCTATGTCTTTGTCCTTGAAGACATTTATGTATATATGAGTCAAAAGGTTATTCAGTTCTTGTTTTTGTGGCTCAGAAAGGGCTGTAAAAAGCTCAGATGTGTTCTGCAAAGCATAGACAGTGTTCAGAGCTATTGAGACTTGTTCCTGTGTCAGAAAGCTAAGTTCACAGAGACTGTGCATTATAGTCTCACTTAAATGTATAAGCTCTGCATTCATGGCTGGTGATTTGGGCAAATCAGAATGGAACAATTGGGAGAAATTAAAGCGTTTACAAAGAATTTTTTCATAGTCTGCAACAGAAAAATTTACAAGTGTGGACAAGATTTTAATATTAGCTCTTTCTTCTTGTGAAATGCCATTGAGCCAGAATTCTTGCAGTTCTGAATTAATTTCAAGAAGTATTAATTCTAAAAAACTCAAAACATTTTTGGATTCCTTCTTCACCCAATGATTTTTAAGTCTTTGAATTTTTTCAGTGACCAGCTTATCAAATTCCAGAAGTTTCCAAGCAGTAGCATCATATGAGTCTGCCTTTAAACTTTTTAAATGATTTATCCATGAAACACTTCTATTCAGAATAAGCTCAGCAAGAGAAGAAAAATTATGAAATTCAGAAACAGTGAATGAGCCAGAAGAATTAGATAATAATTTCTCCACAAACTCCACAAATGACAAAAGTGTGTCCATCTGTCCATTTTCAAGGACGTGCAACTTCTTGTCCACCACTAAAAGGTGCTTTGTGAAATTGAAGGTCCTACAATACAGATAGAATTGTTTTATTATCAGAAAGAAAAGTTAATTCAATGCCTCAAATTTCTAAGGTATTTACAGATACGTAATCATTTCTAGTGATCATACTTCATGTCAAGCTAATATGAGCATCTATTACTATGTTGGAAATCCCAACATGACTGCATATATTTAACTTAAAATTTGTTTCCTATTATCATAAAAAATACATTCTAAATCCCATTCCACTGTTAATCAATATATATGACTGCTAAGCACAAGTCTGCCATTTAAGCCTGTTGAATTTGTTTTCATATTTCCTTTCAAAAAGAAGTGGGCTACAGAGATAGATCAAGATCAGAAACTTTGCCTGCTGCAGTGTAACCAGCTGACTCATACTCTTTCTAGCACAAGTGGGTGCTTCTACCATCATGCCTTGCCTACCAGATATACTGAAATTCCCTGAGACCATGAGCTAAAATAAAGCTCTCTTCCATGAAGCTGATGTCAGGAATTTTGTCACCACAATAAGGATGGTGTCTGATACAGACAGTGAGTCAAGCACATTTAACAAACAAATTATATGCCATAATGCCAGAGTAACACTTTAACAGATACACAATGCCAGAGTAATGCTGCAATAAACACCCCTCACAATACATCCTGGAAAGGACTCTCATACCTGCAGTCTTACTTCATCCTCATAACAGCATTTGGAAGCACATGTCAGTATTTTAATCTTATAAAGAAATATTTCTAATTATTTTTTAATTAGTGAAATTGCACTGTTAGCATATGGCAGGAACAAAGCCAAAGTTGTGTTAGGGTGTGTGTGTGTATGTGTGTGTGCGCGCACACTGACATCAGCTTTCTTAGCATAAGTTTACTTAATCTCTAATATTTTTGCCCCTTAAATCAGTGCTAAATTAACTATAGTTTCTTGCCTTAACAATTCCATATGTACTCTATTGAGTTCACAGATAGAAAATATAGCATGCCTTTAGAGCACATTCAGATTGGTGTTGTTGCACTCACTAAAGCTGTTAAATAATTGAGGTTTTCAGGACATAGACTGTGCAAGTATTCTATGACACTGCTGAGATCATGCCATTGTCTTTCCTCATGTTCCCATGGAGAAGGCTTCAGCAGGTAATGAAATTCGTGACTAGGGAGCAGAATGCTTCCAAATGTTGGTATTTGAAAGAACCCCTAGAGAAATCTGTAAACACAGAGAAACCTGGGCCCTAGATACAGGATTTAGCATGTTGGAGTGAGGGCCTAAACAAACTTTACAGGTAAGTTTGGTCCCCTCCAGAGTCTAAGTTCTACTATCATCTGCAAAGCTCCTGTCCTATCCAACCCCAGCACAACTCCTAAACTCAAGTGATTCAATCAGGGCACAAACTCTGTCTCCATAAACTACTGTTTAGGAAAATCTTATTCCTGTGGTCACACACCTAATAGACAAATACTGGATGCCTGATATGAAATATTGCCACGGCTTAAATGGAGCTCATAGACTTTGAATAATATAGCCTATAACTGACATTGCTTCTGAGAGTTAATACCTGGAAGTTGAATCATAAAACTTACCTGGTTATGGCAGTTATTGGAGACTTCTTAAAGTTATTGAAAAATACAAAATAATTATCAATGACGACTTTCCAATCCATGTCTTGTGTATAACAAGGAGAGTCCTCAGAGAAAGCTAAAGAGAAACATCAACAAGCTGAGGATAACAGTCAAGCAAAAAATATAGCAGATCATCCTAGTATGTTTGAAAAACAATGAAGAAGGTTTAGTAATTTGTGATTTGACATCTGCTTCCACTCATGATGACACAATGAGTTACTGAGCAGTGCAGAGCATTTATTCATGCAGGACAGTGGGCAAGTGAGAGGAGACCTATGATCATTCCTGCTTACTGCTTTAGAGAGACTCTAGAACACTGGATATCAACCTTCTTAATGCTCTGACCCTTTAAAACAGTTCCTCATATTGTGATGACCCTAAACCATAAAATTATTTAATTGCTACTTCATAACTATAAGTTTTTCTACTGTTATGAATTGCAATGTGAATATCCAGTATTCAGGAGATCTGGTATGTAACACCAAAGAAGTCATGACCCATACGTTGAGAATCACTGCTCTACAATCATGTACAAGGAAGAGGTAGGCGGCCTGGAGCTCAGTGGACATATCGTGTTGGGATGAAGCTTAGATTCTGAAAGAACAATGCCTGGGAGGGATCTGCAGAGTGTATGTGTCCTTCTAGTATACAGATGAGAAGTAATTAGTGTGTGAGGACACTGCTCGAGACTAGAAATCTTTACCTTCACAACATTATAGATATTTGTTTAGTGATCACACAATGACAAGAATATACTCTATTTTGCTCATGGCTATATTAGGACATTTTACAATTTCATCAATTTACCAAGTACCTCAAACAAAAAAATACTTTCACTCACTAGTTAATCTCTAAAGATAACTGAGATGAGTAGCAAATCTTTAAAGCAGAAGCATCTAACCTCTTGACATTGCAATATAATGTTATCATCTACAAATGTGTTAGGTCACAGTCATGGCTATCTTGAGATCCACAATGAATGGGTCACAGATTCAACACATCATACTTTGAAACACTCCTAGAGCTGGAGTGTAGCTTTGTGGTAGAGCATTTGCTTAGCATGTACAAAGCCCAGTGTTCAAATCTCCACACTGATGGGAAAATCTAGGAAGCCAAGACCTTAAAAGAATAAGCTATCTATAAGAATGAAAAAGACCTAACACAGAATAATGATCAAATGTGTATTTAGCATCCATCAAAAAATTCCACACATTCAAAGAAGAAAATATGATGAGAAAAATAATTGGTCAAAGACAAGGAAGAACATGAACCACATATATGGTTTGTGTTATTCAATTTACACCCTCTTATTTACACATTTACAAGGCAAAGATTATCAAGTTGGATAAGAAAAAACTAACCATACACTATATATAAAAAATACGCTTAAAATATGATTTTTAGAAAAGATATATGACTCCCAATATTAATAAAAAAAGTCATAAAGCAATGTAGAATCCAGATAGTAATATCATCATCTCATGATGGTAAAAACATCAAGTCATCAAAAAGGTACGATTCCAAACATATGCACACTTGATAGCACAATTCCACAACATGAGATAAAAACAAAGCACAAAGATAAACAGTCTAATTCATGTAGTACTCTGAGATATAATTAGACATGGAGACAAAGTATCAGCAAACATAGAGGATTAGCGTAGATCTGCTAACAATGTACACTACCTGATGTTCAAGAACTATTCCACCCTGCACCAAAACAGGACTGATTATCTCCCTGGACACATGAAACAATTACCAAAAACTCATTTTCTAAACCCTAAAACATTCACAAAAAATTAGCAAGACTATTGGTATAGACTGTTTACAGAGCAAGATAGAATTAATTAGAAATCAATAAAAAAATATAACTAAAAATCCTACATATTTCAAAATGAAATAACACATTGGCAAATCACTCATGGGTCAGAAAAATATCAGAAAGATATAAACACATTTATATATTTTAAGTGTGTCTTATTTTGCTTTGGATTTTCTAAACAAAAACATTTCTAACTTCGAGCAAGCAATTTAACCTCTTTAGCATCTATTTCTCAAGTAAAATTGCATAAGAGTTACATTCATTATGCCTCATCAAGTTCCCACTAAAATAACGACATGACTATGGGGGAAAACAAAAACATTCCAGAAAATTAAGTCAGAGGTGTGTGATATTGCATAAGAAACAAGTTGATGCCATCAGAAAACCGAGCAGTGAAACAGAAAGAAATTAAGCAAAGGAAGAAAATAAAGTCCTCCACAGTCAACTCCTCTGCTCTTCTTTGTGATTAAAAAAAGTTCAAGCCTGATGTTCATTTTACTGGCAAAGGATAAAAAAGCGGCATCTATTACATGAACCTCCAGTTCTTGCTAGATACCTCTATTGTGGGTTATCATAATAAAAACATAGTAAAGTAAGCTTTTCTTTAAGTTTTATCAAGGATAAAAATATCCTTGTTTTTCTAGCTAGCTCTATTAAATCTGTCAGATGCAACATTTGTTCTTAAGTCCATCTGCTTCTAAAGCTCACACTATCATCCCGCAGTCCACCCCTGCTTGGTCTATGAGGTAAAACTGTACTCTATAACATACAGTAGTCAATTCTATTCGCTAGGCTATGTCATGTCTCCCTCGTGCCACATTCTTGCCATTTGCGGTTCTTTCATTTTTATTGCCCGCCTAAAAGAGGAAGGATGGATAAGTAATGTGTAATCTAAAGATGCACACACAGCTGCAGGGTATTTTGATAAGGTTTGCTATTTGCTGATTTCTTCCTGTTGCCATTTGGTGATTTCCAAATGTTTGTATGCTTACATGTTCCTTGGACGTCTCAAAATGTGCATTTTGACTATTCTGCAGGTCTAAGTTAGGGCTGTGATCTGCATTGCTAATGACATGCCAGATGCTGCTGCTGCTGTTCCAGAGACCACACTGTTAGTAACAAGGATGTAGGCAATTAGCTGTGTACAATACACATATCATAAGCAAAAAAAAAAAAAAGTTCACAGTCTACTAAATATACTGAATATCTCGGTTATTATTTATCACCCTCCTTGTTAGCTATGCAGCTCTCCATCTGACAGTTAAAATGGCTGAATGGTCAAAGCCTTCATAATTTGAAGGTTTGGAGTAGAAAGATTTCCTAATCTGATTAAGAATGAAAAACTACAAGGAGAAAGCCTAGGGACACTTCTTTCTGTTTCTGACTGTTAGTTGTATTCATTCTTCAAACCCTGATTCACACGACGAGTTGTTAGCTGCTCTGTGAACACAAGCATTAACTGGAACTCATCTCTAATTGTGTCTATTTCTCCCACTAACTTGAACTCCATTTAGGCTACTCCATTGAGCCATAGGATCTCTGTGATGCCCTTGATTTGAAAGATGACTTTCTTTTCCAATAGTCAAGTAAACAGTCTGTAGCAGTGGTTCTCAACCTTCCTAATGTGTGACCCTTTAATACAGTTGCTCACATTGTGGTGACCCTCAACCATAATATTATTTTATTGTTATTTCAAAACTATAATTTTGCTGTTATGAATCATAATGAGAATATCTGATACGCAGAATTTCTTTGTGTGACCCTGTGAAATGATCATTTGACCTCCAAAAGGGTTATAACCCATAGGATGAGAACCACTGGTCTAGACAGACAGACAGACATCTACTATCCCCTTGATCATCCAAATGAAAAGAAACTGAGATGGTAGCCCCTCCCCAATTCTAGGTTCCTTAACTGTCAAGACATTTTCCCTGGAGGACTTCCAATTGGAAGATCAAACAAATTCCCTTTTCTGAAGTCATCCCCAAAGAGCTGTAAAATGACAAGAGGAAACAGAAAGTTATGTAGTCCACAGATGAAAGATGGAAAAGTAAAGAGCAGCAGATGGCAGCTGCTAATATCTCCAAGTAGAAAAATAAGTGGACAAAGGGGATCAATCAGGCAGAGCTCAAATACAAAAGCTGGAGCTTGTACTTGAAGAGGAGAATGTCTAAATGAGTTCTCCTTTTAACTCCCCACAAGACTCATGAATTAATTAAAGCACAAATGTCTAACTGCTTATGTGAGAGGTAGAAGTGAAAATGGACAGGAATATTGAGATACATTTTTGAATGAGGAAAATTCTGTTATATTTCCTCCATCACCCAGCCTAGACAATTTTTCCTCCATATTAGAAGACTAGAAATTTGATGACCTGGAGAAGTGAAATTGACTGGAACTCAGATTGGAGTAACAATGCAGCTGATGGTGTGAATAACAAAACCACTAATAGAAATAGGGAAGATTATGTAATCTGTTCATTCTCAGCAGTGAAGTTCTCATCACCTCCCTTGCTTCCAAGAACAAGGGAGACTTGGAAGCCAAGTCTGCCCATTTCCACCTGAGTGTTATCTATCAATAAACTACTGGAGAACTCTCTTTTTGAAGGCTTCAGGGAAATAAATTTATGCTGGAGGAGGTGAGGATGCATATGTGTACCAGGCTATGAAGATCAGCTATGGGGAGAGATGGCTTACTTCTTGGTCAACCTAAGGACAGAGCTTATCAAGTGACAAGAACTCTTTGCAGGAAAGAGAGAGAGAAAGAGAGAGAGAGAGAGAGAGAGAGAGAGAGAGAGAGAGAGAGAGAGATTGAGAGAGATTAAAAGCAAACCAGCTTTATAAAAATGATAGAAGTCCTTAAAGAGGAAAAATTGGGGAAATGACAAACAAAAAATTGAACAAAATCAATAAATCCCTTTTTAATATCCTAAAAAAAATAAAACAAACAGACAGGTGAAAGAAACTGTTTAAGACTGGAAAATGGAAATTGTTGGAGAATCATAATGTTAAGGCCCATCAAGTCAGGATAGCTCTCCAAGTTCAGCACAAAATGGAGGGCTCCCTTTTTCTACCTGGCCTTGTCCAGAGAGTGTCTCTGAGCAAAGGTAACTCACCCTATTTGGAGGATAATTCTTCTCAGAGCTTCCTGCAAGCATTTCATGACTCAACACATAAGTCCTCCACTTCCTTCCACCCATATGATAATAGGCACTGCATTATGACCAATCAATCATTCCCACCCATACCGCTAAAGAACCTTATATACCCTAACCCCAGAACAATTAACTAGAGCTGTCTCCCTGAAGATGACTCCCAGAAGTTCTTCTGTCATACTCATGGACATCTGAACCTTGCTTGCCACTTCTCTCCCTTCACCTTTGTGCCCTAGTGGCCAATGACCCATGAGGAAAAGGAAGATCTACAAAAAATAGAAGCGGTAAAGAAAACACAAATAGAAGAAATTCTGAAAATAGAAAATCTAGGTGAACAAACAGGAACTACAAACAGGATGCAAGCATAATGAACAGAATATAGGAGATGGAAGAAATAATCTCAGGATTTGAAGATATTATAGAACAAAAAGATTTATCTGTAAAAGAAAATGTTAAATCAAAAAGCTTAAAACAAAACATTCAGGAAATCTGGAATACTATGAAAAGATCAAAAGTAAAAATAATAGAGAAAGAAAAGGAAGGAAAATCCCAGCTCAAAAACCTAGAAAATATATTTTAAAAAATCATAGACAATTTTTCTAACCTAAGAAGATTATATATATATATATATATATATATATATATATATATATATATATATTCATTCATGGATCATTGGCCACTAGACCACAAAGGCGGAGGGAGAGAAGCGGCAAGCAAGGTTCAGATGGCCATGAGTATGACAGATTTTATATATATTATTAATAGGACTTAATAATCACTGATCATTGACCATATATATATATACATATACATATACATATACATATACATATACATATACATATATGAAGCTTACAGAATACCAAATAGATTGGACCAGAAAAAGAAGTCCTCTAGGCTACATAAACACTAAACATATAGTACAAAGAAAGAATATTAAAAGCTATAAGGGCATAAGGTCAAGTAACATATAGAGACAGACTATTAAAATTACACCTGACTTTTCAAGAGAGACTTTAAAAGCTAGAAGCATCCGGAGACACGTCTTGCAGACTCTAAGAGCCCTCAAATGCCAGCTCAAATTTCTGTACCAAGCAAAAAATTACAATCACAATAGACTGAGAAAACATGGAATTTCATATCAAAATCAAATTTAAACAACCTCAACCCACAAATCCAGCCCTACTGAAAGTACCAGAAGAAAAATTCCAACCCAAGGAGATTAAGAGCACCCATGAAAATACAGGCAATAAATTCTCTCACACAACCAAAACCCAAAGTAGGGAAACACACACACACACACACACATCATCATCATCATCAACAACAACAACAACAACAAGAAAATAACAGGAATTAATAATCACTGATCATTGATATCTCTTGATATCAATGAACTCAATTCCCCAATAAAAAGACAAATGTTAACAGAATGATTATGAAAACAGGATTCATTCTTCTGTTTCATACAAGAAACACACCTCTGGTCATATACCCAAAAATGCCCCAACATATAACACATGCTCCACTATGTTCATAACAATCTTATTTATAATAGCCAGAAGCTAGAAAGAACCCAGATATCCTTCAACTGAGAAATGGATATAGAAAATGTAGTACATTTACACAATGAAGTACTACTGAGCTATAAAAAACAAGGACTTCATGAAATTCTTAGGCAAATGGACTAGAAAATATCATCCTGAGTGAGGTGACCCAATCACAAAAGAACACACATGGTATGCACTCACTGATAAACGGATATTAACACAAACGTTCTGAATACCCAAGATACAATTCACAGACCACATGAAGCTCAAAAAGAAGGAAGACCAAAATGTGGCTGCTTCAGTTCTTCTTAGAAGGGGGAACAAAATACTCAAGGGAGGAAATATAGAGGCAAAGTATGGAGCAGAGACTGAAGGAAAAGCCATCCAGAGACTGCCCCAACTGGGGATCCATCCAATATATAATCACCAAACCCAGACACTATTGTAGATGCCAAGAACTGCATGCTGACAGGAGCCTGACACAGCTGTCTACTGAGAGGCTCTGACAGAGCTTGATACAGAGGCAGATGCTCATAGCTAACCATTGAACTGAGCACTGGGTCCCCACTGGAGGAGTTAAAGGAAAGGACTAAAGGAGCCTAAGGTGTTTGCAACTCTATAGTAAGAGCAACAATATCAACCAACAAGACCCCCCCCCAGAGCTCCCAAGGACTAAACCACCAACCAAGGAATACACAAATGTAGCAGAGGATGCTTTGCCAGGCATCAATGGGAGGAGAGGCCCTTGGTCCTGTGAAGGCTTAATGCCCCAGTGTAGGGGAATGCCAGGGCAGGGAAGCTGGGGTGGGTGGGTGGATGGGGGAGCACCCTCATAGAAGCAGGGGAAGAAAGGATAGGATAGGGGGGTTCCCGGGGGTAAATGGGGAAAGGGGATAACATTTGAAATGTAAATAAGGAAAATATCTAGTAAAAAAAGAAAATAAATAAATATTTTCATCTAAATGAGGGCAATTTTGAAAGTGAATAAAATTTTTGTGAATGGTGCTGGAAAAGCCTGGCCAGACAAAGCAGAATTATCACAGCTATAAGGCATCCCTGACCACAGTAACCATAATAGCTATCCTCATTTAGAGGGACTCTCATTTTAGGCTTCCCTCCACAGTGCATAAAAACACTTCATTCTGCAACCCTGTCTCACTAAGAAGAAAAAGCAGCACACGTTCCTGTCATTAAGACCTCCCGACTTACATATCAGACTGTTCTGGAAACTTCCATGCATGTTCACATATCGAGCCAATTCACATGTCTTCCTGATGATCCCTGAGACAATTTTCCAGTAGGACATTTTCTGCGTGGACATTTGTACTTCTTCAAGTATGTGAGATACCCTGTGGCAAAGAGAATCCAGAAAATAGAACTTAACTAACAGTTTTCACATTAACACATAAACCCACCCAAAGGCAATAAGTGCAAATGTATTGACAGTACACATTCAAAAGCAACTTGAATCTTAAATAGTTCTATTCATTTATGAATTCTTCTACCTTGATTTGGAAAATGAGAAAAAAAAAACATGTGGCAATATATAAAACACAAAAATAGAGAGTAAATCAAGCAAAAAGCAAAAAGAAAATAAACACAACAATATAAAATAAACTTTGAGGCTAAGAAAAAAATACATCACCATTTGATATACTTGACTGTGAGCTTATTAGAAGCCCCAAAAGTGGCTATTTATGTAAAGGGTCATGAAATAGGAAAAAGATATTGCTCACTTGAGCAGCTTCCTACAGGGAAACAACAGCCTGGTTACACACAAACCTGGGGCTTGTCATGAAAGCTTAAGTCAGTGAACAGGGAAAACAGTCAGTAAACAGGGAAACTGTATTATAGTTCTTATTAATTTTATTAATGTGTTGTTTTTAGAAGCTGTCTTATCTTAGCAACAGGTTAATCTCATTGAAGTATCTTTCCATTTTTCTCTTTAGGAACAGAATGTATGATGGTGAGCCATTACCAAGTAGCACCTGAAATCTTGCCAATGTCTAAGCCCTGAAAAGTTTTCCATCCAACACATACTTACACGGTGGAGACAAGCTGGTTCTCACAGCCACCAGGAGAGACACTATTCCCAGGTAAGGCATCAGCTCTTGAAAGCTGGAAGACCTGAGAACAGGTAAAGCTTACTTTTGACAGCTGTGCCCCAAGATCCTGCCAGCCAAAATGCCCACCATGTTCTGAATCTGATCCATTCGTGTGTCCTGAAATGACAGCTTGCAAACTATGACCCTTAAAAAGAAAAAAAATCACCTGTCAAAAGTTAAGTTAAGCATTTTGTGTGGGCATTTGATATGGAGCCCACCTTGTTCATTTATCAAGGCCTCCTTATAGACTCCTGGACAATGATCTCAAGGTAGTTGAAGACATTAACCTCTACTCAATTGTTCAAAGTTGCATCCCCCAAATAAAACTTTACCCAATAATAAAGTAAAATTTATCCCTCATGTAATTAAGCTTCTAATAAATATTCTAGTGTTGTCATGTGTGTTGGATGATCTCCCCAAATATAGTGGGGGAATGCTTAACAAAGTACTCAGAGAATCAGACCTGATAAGCATCCTCATGGTAACCCCTCCCACAGTCCCTTTAGCTCTGACTCCTTGGTCTATAAATGCGGCAGAATGACTTGTACAAATTTCAGCCTGAGTAGTCAAAAAGTTTGAAAACTTCTCTTCTTTCTCAGTTGCTTTTATGAACCCTTGATTATCAAGGGAGCCCACATGAAGTCATTAAGATAAGCCCCACAACCTCACTGTCCAAACTCCAGGCCCTATAGTCATAAGATCACAGCTGTACAAAGGAATATCCATAGGACTAAGACAACTCTACCTGGCTGAGCCTCTCTCAGCCCCAGAATCATAAAGAAATATAGAATATGCTTTGTTTCCAACCACTGAGCTTTGGAATGGTCTGTTAGGACAAATCACCCAACTTCTATCTAAGAAGCTTTCTCATAGAGCTGAAGAACTGTGTGCTTGCTACCTATAGATCCCACTGAGTCAGTACCAGTGCCCCAGGGGCTTTCCTGTCTAACTTCAGGTACACCTGTCTACCAAGAACCCACTATGACTTTTCTTAGCTTCCAAGTTTTCCTCCACATTCAAAACACAAAAACATCTTCGGGGAAACTTCCAGATGCCAAACTATTATGTACTCATGTTATCTGCTCTGCTCAAGCCAGAGAAAATCTTCATGTATGTATAACCCCTTGGCATGCATTATAAATGCTGAGAAGACAGTGAAGGGTTTGACTATGTACACACTCTTATTTCCACTTTAATTTTGCTCAGAATCATTTCCATTTTACCAGTTTTATTATTCAACTAATTTTATATTCTAATGCACATAAGGAAGAATTTTTTAAGAGACAGGTAATTGTGAGAGGAGCAAAATGATGAACCTAAGAATATTATACATTTTAATTCTTGGTTAAAAAAAATAAGTGCTAAAGTTGACATAACCATTTTTGAAGCATTTCATAGTCTGTGTCACTGTTCAGCATAGTTAACTGAATGCTAGGCAGTGACAGGTGAAGAGAATGACTTCCAAATCCTCTCATCACTAAAAGCTGTTTTTCCATTAACTATCAACAAAGCTCACTCTGTGCTTTCCTTCCTATATGCAACCAGGAAAACACAGAGCAGGGAAGAGACCAGGAAACTGGAAGGGCAGATGTGTGTTTTCAGAAGTTTGCAGTACTCTCAAGGGTTGCCAGGAAGGTTGTGGCAGGGAGTATGTACCACTACACTCAAGTAGTCAGGAGGGATAGAACTGAGGAGTAGCCACAACTCAGGCAGCAGCATCCTTTCAGGGATGCCAACACTTGCATGGTCCAAATTCCAGGTTCAATATTAGCATGTTGGATGCTTACCTCTTTTTTTTTAATTAGAAATTTTAATTTAATTTTACAGTCAATGCAACACTGAACTAGTACATTCTGTGATCTTTTATAGTTTTGGGGGATTTTGCCAAAGTGGTTACAATAAGATGTTTTGTTTGCTCAGTTTATTTGAGCATTCTAACTGAAACCAGTGTTCTGTTTATCCATGCTATGTATTTCAGTATTTGGGGAATGGATTTTCTTTTTTTTATATTTTAAATAATTTATTTATTTTTTTCTCAAATCATAATTCATTCACACAGGGGTTATAAACACAGAAAGGCAGGATGTGGAGAAGGGGATGACACTGGAGTGTGGGTGTTCAGGGAGAATACAGATATCTTTCAGAACCAGGTATCGGCTGGGTGAAGGTTCAGGGGACAGGTCACTTTGACTCTGCCTATGACTCACTTTTCCTTATCTAAGTTGATATTGTCTGCCAAGGCTACCTATTTACAAGGTCTATGACTACTCAGTCTGGTAAATGTCCACAAAAGCTGCCTGTTTACAATAGCTTATAGCCATCTGTTTCAATGTTTTTCCACTGAGACCCAAGACTTGGTGTTAGTATACATGTATGACAGGCCTATTGCTGATTTTAGCCCTATGGCTGATCTTAGGCCTTCAATGTGTAATCAGGGCTGTCCCTGACATCTCCTGCCTTCTCTAAGTATAGAAGGGCTGTGGCGATTCTAATCTTGCGAAGGCGGGGATAGAGGCCTGATCTCCAATACTTGAAGGGGACCTTGTAATGGCTCCAGTCCCCATGTCGTTGTCCAGTGAGGCATGAGGGCCATACCCATCCCGATGTCTTTTTCCTGGAGAGGGGATACTCTGGACATCAACCCCTATGCAGTCAGGCTTGTCCCTCAGGGAACCCAGAGAGATATTTTTAACTTTTATTTATATTCCCTTGCAGTGCTTAGCCTCGCAGCCTAAGCAAGAATTCAGATCACCAGTCAGAGGGGGTTCTGGGTGGCCCCTCTCTGCTTAGTCTAGGGGTGGGAGTCCCCTCTTTTAGGTTGGGTGGAGATGGGTTTTGGGAACACCCTGTATAAAGTAACAACCTCATCTTGAGTCTCGTGGTCCTCCATAGCTAACTTATGATAATATATCTGAATAGGTTTTGCTACCAAATTATGTATCTGTTGTTTCACAGAGTTAGTCTGCCTATTTGAGGCCCAGGGACCAGCAGAAATAAGCAAAGAGAACCCAAATAATGGTCCCAAGATGGGAGGAAGTATGGTTTACAACCTTGGAGAGGCTGAAAACCAATTCTTGTACCAACATTCATCTGTCTCTTTCTCTCTCTGATTTTTCTCAGGGCCTCCACTGACCTATTTCATGCTCTCTTTAACCCTTCCTGTCTTGTCTATGTAAAGACAACCTTCTTCTTTAAGGGCTGTACACAGTCAAGAGCTGTACACAGCCTTTTCTATTGTAATAGAGTAAATCAAGTCCAATAAGGATCTTTGCGATTTTACGAGGTCTCTTCAGACAGCGAAATGAGGGATTTCTTCAGATTAGTGATGTCAATCTCTAGCTGTTTGATGTTCTTGTCAGTGGCACTTCAAAGGTCTGAGTAGTATAAGTTTGGAGGCCAGGATCTGGATTAGAACTTCTAACAGCAGACATCACGGGTGATTCATTTTTACCTGGGATGCTGCCTGAGTTAAAGCTCCTGGGAGGCCCTCTTTCTCTTGGTTTTCTGAGGTTGGGTACAGAGCTGCTGTCTGAGACCTGTTCTATGCTCGGGCCCAGACCGGAAGTCGGGTGCTTACCCTTTAACAGAAATCCAGCTGGTGCTGATGGAGCAATCTAATGGTGGATACTTACAGCATCCTTCACTGCTAGAAGCAGCTCATTTAAAACACTGGTCTTATTGAAGGACAGGGTATGGCATAGCACTCCCCAGACACTACTCCAAATACTGGAGTTTCCAGTAGGGAGGGGATCCTCCTGAGACAAATGTCCATTCAGGCAAAAGGCAGAAGCATTCTTCGTCAACAGCTGAAAAATTAATAAGGATAGAAAGAGGGAACATTTAGGAATGCTCAGTGATATTCTCTATAGAATAAACAACAACAAATAGAAAGAGCCATGTTAAAGTAAAGCCCAGCATTTTCAGAGAAAAAAATATTGCTCATTCTCCTTATGTCATCAGCAAATCTCACAACAGGCAAAGCTAAACACTGCTTCCAATTTTTTTTTAATATTTTGTAGGGAAAAATAGTTTGTATGTAATCTTTACCTGGTTTAGCCCCCGAAATAAAACATCCTTTTCTAGTCTCCATCCTTCAGACCCAACAGTTAGAAAATCCCTTGCTGACCTCTCCAGATAACTGAGGACTTCTGCAAGATAAAAATATGTTTCACCCACCATTTGGATTAAGTTTCTTCCATCCTCAATTTTCTCCACAACCATGAAACAGTAAAGGGAGTTCCAAAAATATAAATTTCAGCAAACCCAGCCTGTTAACAAATGCTCTATTATCTTATGAGAAAGGAAAACAGGAACACGATGGGAAGTTCTGTAATCCTTTCTGAGGACTCAATAGTGTGGGTACTTTGTTACAAGAGCACGTTGCTTCTAAAGCAATGGCCCCTCACACTGTCTTCCTCTCTTCTCCCTAAAAGGGTGAAAACGATTTGACCCATGAAAGCAAAGTGTAACCTTGCCTTCCTCAAAGGAGGGCAGAAGGAGTACCTGCCCGGCATTAAGAGTTCACAAAAGAGCATTCTGTACTCTTAGAAAGATCTCAATCCCATGCAGGCACTGAACAGTGCAGAGGGCAGGCAAGCAGAGGAACCAATGCCCTTATGCACAGAGTCCTGGGTGTATCTCCAGCTTGACAATCATGGGATTGGTGTCAGTGAGAAAGTTAAACTGTCCCATGAAACGGATTGACCCAGACCACACTGCAGGCTCTGCCAAACAGTAGAATGTGACCTTCATTATGACAGCAGCATGGCATGTTGTATGTGACACACCCTTGAGGACTCTGTGGCGATACATAAATGTATACAACACCAACAAAACTCAGCTTGAAGCTTTATAATTTTACCAGCAAGGCACAAGAACACTTCTACGGGCTCATAATCAGTGAGCGGCAAAGAAAAGCAGAGCTGATTTACCTTGAACAAACAGCAAATCCTGGGCGATTGTGTTCCTGAGAACAGTATCTAGCAGGGGCAGTCTCTTCAGAGCTGGCCATGGGGACAGTTCTGACAATGCATGCTGCAACTTGCTCAGATTCTGGAATCTAGGGGCAAAAATAAGGAATGCACCAACTCAAGAGATGAGGCAAAAGAAAACATCCCACCACTTAGGGAATTGTGCTCACAGACTAGAAGGGCCACTTCAGCACCTGAGTTCTTGACAAATTGCATTGTCAGTTATTGAATCCTGTGCTGGAAAGATTCTTTTAGAAAACAGGTTCAAATTAAATATTCTCTTTACCTCTAAAAATGTATGAAACAGGTGAAAATTAGGTTGAAGTATTAGCTTATTTTTACAAATATTTGCATTACTGGGGATGACAGTTTATGCCTATCATCCCAGTCCTTGGCTTGCCTATGCAGAAAGATTGTGAGTTCAAGGCCAGCTTCAGATACACAAGGAAACCTACTTTTTTTTAATGCCTTAAAGCTTACAGTTATGAGGCACAGAAAATTAATTTGACTTTCAAAATATTGACCCATCCAAGGAATAAAAGGCATGAAAGACCCATCAAAGGAATCCTGCATAAGATAAGCTGAGAGTCTCCAAGATCAAAGGAAAAAATATAACTTATAAGGCTGCTTAATGCCTCTAGTCATGAGGGGTGAGGCTAGCTATTCAACCTGGGGCCTGCTATAAGGATTTTTTGTAAAGATGTTCTCCTTGAAAGCCTGGCAGAAAACCACTGAGGGCAGAATATCCAGCAATACATATTTGCCTCTATATCCTTGCTTGGGGGTCTGGGGTTGCAGGAAGAGGCAGAGGCCCAATGCATGGTCTGTCAGATCTCTAGTCTGCTAAGAAGGATGATGTGTACATGGCTCAAATGGATGCAGACAGCAAAGAAGACAAGACAGTATGAAGGAAGAAGTGTGAGAACTGAGAACAAGAGAAGGCTGAAATGGAAACAAATGTGGGAGAGTGAAGAACCACATGCAGGTCACAGTGAGGAGCAGGGCTGCCAACTCCAGGCTTTCTGTACTTTCATGGCCACACAGTGCATCTTCAGCCAGGAAAAGAGTGGCCAGATAAAGGAGCAAAGATGAGAGATGTGCCTACTAGGAATCCAAGCAAACCATCCCACCCTACCCACCTCCATCCCACCCCTGCTGAAACCTAAATGAAGCTGTGCTGCTTGTCTGTATCTGGACTTACTCAGACCTGCATCCACCTGGTCTTCTCAGAGCATCTCACCAGTGTTGGATAAAGTACATGTTCGACACGTGGCTTTGGTTCTATAGACAGTGTGCTGTTGGATACCACCACTGCAGAGAGTATAGAAGAGCGAGGGAGAGTCCTAGTGATGTTTCTCTTATAAGGAATAAGTAAGAAGGATGATCCATCTGTAGTCCATCACCCTGGATACACCATGTCTCTCTATCAAGCCTGAAGGTTAGCTTCTTAAACAGGGCCTTCCACAGGACAAAGCAAGGTCAGGTGGCTCACTATCTAAGGAATCTAAGGAACTCTAGATTATACTGAGGAGCAAGCAGACTGGCTCATCAGAAGAATGAGGAAAAACGAAGATAACTGTTTTTATTTACTTGCCAAGTGGAAAAGATCATCCACTATGTGGTATGGAATCTGAATCTGGGCTGCTGAGCCTCTTCAAGCTCCAACAAGCAAGGAAATTTTAAGACCAAATCTGTAAGCAAAGAGTTCTATGTGTGTTTGCTGAGTCAGGTATTGTTGGAATGCTCAGAGTCACCCCTATGAGACCATGTTGCCCAGAATCTTTGCTGTGTATCAGAGCCCAGATGTAGACCCACAGCTCAGCCACCAAGCCAGCACAAAGTCTCAAGACAATGAGTCAGTCTCCGGTGACTTCAGGAGAATATGTGAAAGACTGGCTATGGAGACAAAGGATTTTGAAACAAGTGTTATTTCCTGAACCAATATTTGGGGTATGAGACAATCAGTTTCCTGACAAGGGCTGATTGAGAATCTTATAGAAGTCTAGCACAAGTCACTGCTCAATTTAATACAAGTGTAGATGCTGAGAGACAGACAAAGTTTAAACAGAGACAAGAGTTCTAGAAGAAGGAGCAGGACAGTTCCTAAAGTAGAGGAAATACTCAAGAGTGCTACAGGGTCCAGACCAAAGTGGCCAGCCAAAATTATGTCAGGTAAGAAAGAACACTATCAGAGAGAAAGTGGTCAGGGTTTCAACCCTACACAGCCCTGCTGAGATGGGACTCCATGAGGAGGAGAAGGGAGAGGATGGGAGGAGAGAGAAGGAGGAAAGGAAGAAGAAGAAAAGAAAGGGAAGGAAGATGAGGAGGAAGAGGAGACGGGAGGGGAAGGAAGAATGTGGATGAGGAGGAGGAAGAGGAGAGAGAAGAAAGGGAAGAAGGACAAGGAGGAAGAGACAACTCCAGAAACAATAGAATTCATGAGAGGGATTGCAAAGTCTTGAAGGTTGTATAAGGGGACATTTGACATCCAGGTAAGAAAAACCAGTGAATCTGTGAAGAGAAGAGAAGACAGAGGAAAGCCTAGAAGGAGACAGAAGCATTTCTTAGCAGACGTGAGACTAATCTTCCCTGAGCATGGGCACTGTCTGTATGGTAGGATCAGAGAGACTGTCAATCCAGAGTAGTCTAGCAATGTCAACAGACTAACCCTTTTGTAAAGGGAAGCGATGAGGTCAATGGGCAGGACAAATTCTCCAGAAGACCAATGGTTTAGTAACTAGAAAAGGCCTTAGAGATTATCTGGTGGCCATTACCAGGTAGGATGGCTGATGATAGAATTGTACAATCTGCTTGTTGCCCAGACAGGATGGGAGGCAGTTTTGTATTAGGTGTGGCACTAGTGGTGTCTGAATGAAAAAGGAGATGCCTGGGACCAATAGCCCTGTGAATTCAGAGGGTAAACAGCTAAGGCAGTATCAGGCCCTCCTCTTCCTGGACCTAACTGCACACAGAGTGGTCATCCATAGTTTGGAAGACACCATATTTTGAAATCTTTAGCTTTCCTAATGTCTGAATGAGCTAAGGAACAAGTGAGCCATCCTTGAATTTTACTCTTCTTGTGTGTCAGAGAACAGTCAAGACCCTGGGCTGGAGTGTCAGGAGGCCTTTAGTGTCTATAAGATAATTGAAGTGACTTACTGTAGTATGTTTATTAATGTATTAGAGAACAATCTGTCCCTTATGTTGCCCAAGCAAACAGGTAGTTTTCAAGATTACAATACAGTGTCCTATACCTGAAGTTATTGACACCCCTGCTCTTTGTCCCTCTCCTGTTTCAAGGCATCCTGCTGTTTCCCTGTATCCATCTTTCTACAGCATTTATGGCACTGCTACCCACAGTCCCAGTACTCCATGGCCCAGGGCATCTCCTTGGTCAGTCAGGAAATAAGGCCATCAAAAGCAAGACCCTACATCCTAAGTGGACTCGACAAAATGTGAAAGAGCTTAAAACATTTAGAGTTGCTGTTAACTCTGCAACCATAACAACAGTATAACTTCATATACTTATGATGCCATGGTACCACTGTATCTTATAGAGCCAGAATTTCTGTATTTGAACAAAATCTCATGGTTTTCATTCTCCAACGTTTTTGGAGACAAGAAACCTGTTTTCTTCTGAGAAAAGCAGTAATTTCAGAGGCTGATAGGATTCACATTAGCACAAACTGCTACACATACACACACCCCAGTACACATATACACACATGCATCCACCACATACATGCATATGCAACACACAAGTACACATATCCACACACTATATGTATATAATCACACATATCATACATATATACAAAAACATATAAACAAACAACATACATACAAACACATACATCACACACATATACAAACAACCCACATAAATATCAACACACACACATATATACATATATATATGTATATATACATATATATATATATATATATATATATATATATGTACTTACACTTACACATACACACACACACACACACACACACACACATGCACACACACAGACAAAGTGGAATGCATCAGCCCTGGAATTGAAAATAGAGTTGTGAAACCATTGTTAAGCAGATCTCAGACACAAATATATCTGCTCTTGAACTAGCAAGGAGGGTTATGGTTATGGCCAGTCCCCACATACCCCCATGCAAAGTAATCTTTAAAACAGTGTTAACTTCTGCTGGCTTGTTGTACAATAAGCCCTTCTCCAAGATTATCCAGAAACAGGCTATTCTGACAAAACTACTTCAATTGCCCACCATTGAACAGACTACCTGGTAAATATACTTCTCAACATTTAGTCTTTAAGTATGAATAAATACAGGATGAATCTCTTGGGAAGGTACCTCTGATGTGTGTGTGCATGTGCGTGTGTGTGGTGTGTTTTCATTTTAAGACAAAGACATCAACCTAAAATTCAGGAAGCTGATGCCTTTTCCAATGTGATCATGCTCCTGTAAGGTTACTTACTTCTGTTTGTTTGTTCATTTGGTTTGGGATGGTTGGTCATTTTTTAAGACATGGACTATTGTCACTGAGGCTGGGATGAACTCCTGAGCTCAAGAGATCTCAGCCTCCTGAGCACTGGAATGAGAGATGAGTGCCACTACACCTGAACAGCCCAGTAGATTGTTTTACATATTCACACTCATGTCTAGAGAACTGCACAGATCTATCCTGGCAGTGTCCACAATAAAAGCCTTAGTTTTCCCATGCACTAACTTAGCATCTGTGTTTAGTTGTACTTTTACAAAATTTGTTTCTAATGGCATCATTGCACATTCCTACCATGTCAGTGCGATCAAACCTACTCAATGGCAAAAGACATACATATGTCTTACATCTGTGGAAACAGATGGTTGTCTCTGGGGCCATCCACTGCCAAGCTGTCATTCAAGATGAGCAGGGCAGTGTGCAGGGCTTCCACCACCTTCCACGACTCACTCTGCTGTTTAAACTGGTCCCTAAGGGCTGCCAGACTGTGGCTGGCACCTGCAAGCAGGTTCTGCAGCAGCCCACCCTGCTGCCACTGGTCAAACACCTGCAAATTTAGAAACAAAAATAGATTATCAATCACATTAGAAACACTGTACTTAAGAAATAGTAAAAGACCATTTTAAATGATAAGGTTTTTTTAATTTCTGTTTTTTTTTAATTTAACTAAAATGTCTATTACAATTGTACTATGGTTTCATGTCTACTCAAAAAGTAAAGATTATAAATGCCAACCAAGGACACAGAACTTATATATTATTCCTCTATTCTTTTTATCATTCCTTGGAAAGAAATGAGAAAAGAAAGAACTATGCATTTCATTTCAGAAGATCTAACTTGAAAGCTGAACTATCACATTGAAGAGTTTGATGAAATGATGAGCTTTAAAATATGTCTAGTCGTTATATATATAAGGCAGCTAGCGCTAAGGTCATCATTCGTGCTATATAAGTATCTCATTCTCAGATCAGCCATCGAGACATGCATAATGCAAATGCAGGTAAACTGAAGGAGGCTTGACTAGCAACCCACGTTAACACTTTAAATACGGGTTTCCCCAGCACTGTCTCTTCATCACTGCAGTAATGAATAAGATGCATACTATCACGTGAACATCAATGTATTTTTTTCTGATGATTTATTTCATCCAATACTTGAGATTCTGACCTTGATCAGTCACGCATGTTTGAAAGGTTTTATTGGGGTGAGTTCTCCAGGGTAAAATGGATGCAAATAGATATGACATTTGACAAAGAATGGGTGGTACTGTGGTAGGAGAGTGCCCTGTTAGTATCCATGTATCTCAAGGAACAGAGCTGTGAGCTATCCAGGGCTACTGTGAACTTTGGAGCTATCAACTTTCTACTGATCAAGGAACTCTTCTATACACCAGCCTTGTTTCTCTGAAATACACATGCACACACTTTCCCTTACATCTATGAAGACAGTTGGTGTGCTTTTAAATCAGTCATTAATTTTTCACAATATTTCAAGGAAAAAAAAAACATAGGAAGTACAAGCCAAAAGTGATGTTTAAATAGCTATGTGTCAAAGTAGCCCAAGGGATCTCATATGCTAGCAACATGAATATGATATACAAAATTTGAATTACAAACATCTTACTAACAGGTGTGCTTGTGTGCATACATCAAATGTTGTTGGTGTCTTGAGAGTTTGATGAGTTAAGGCTGTTTGATGCATATGAGAGGAGGTCACAATGACCAGGTATGGAGGACCTGTGGCCTTTCCCAGGGAAAGTCATAGAATCACATAATTTGTAATGTGCAGGGCAAAGATCCGCTGCACTCATAGTATCCAGACATAAAACAGCACCTGTCCATAGAGCTTCAGCCAACTGACTACATGGATGATGTAGTTCTTGACTGCTGACCACTTGGGATGACAGTCTGCCTGGTAGCCCTTGCTCTCGGCTTCATCCTCAGAAGTGTTGGACAAGATGGAGCACACCATCCTCTCTAGGAAGCTATGTGTAGGAATCTGGAAACAACATAAGAAATACTATGAAGTGAAGCTGATTTCCCTGGAATGTTTTTCTTTCAAAATAATTCCCCAGTCTTGCTGGAGTCAAAGCTCATGTGTCCACATGACTGAACACTCGTATCACTAAAATGTCTGTGGTATTTGTCCTGAGGGATGGTCTCTAGAGTTAAGGACAAAAATAGGTCCTGTTCTTTTAGGATCAGGCACAGCAATAGGGGCTGCTGGTTCTCCAGGAGGAGGAGACTGCTCAAACATTGAGTCAAACATTGCTCAGCCTCATTCTGCTACCAAAAGCCATTAGAGACTAAGCCAGTAGTTGATTCTCTGAACAGTGGTACTTTGCTGTCTTTTGCAGTTATCAAAAGCAGGCAAAGTTAGAATGATTAGCATTGCATCCGGGTTAGACATTGCTTTACTATTTTAAATCAGTTCTCCTTTGTGTATTAACTTCTTTGAAACTACTCTACAAATGTGAGTGGCAAAATGAGCTATATCCACCCACTTTGTATTCTTACAATAACTTGGTCATCAGAACTTCTGTTGATGCTTACTGTTGTAGGAATGTTTTCATTGCTTTAAAAATGCCTACATGGAAGCTATCGCCGACAGGTTGACAATGTGATGAAGTAGAACCTCTGGGGTGCTCTAAGGTTTGGAAGTGGTAGTTTCCAGAGACCCATAGGATGATATTAGGAGGTGACTTTAGGAGATGAGGCTTAGAAGGGAAACATTAAATCATCAGGGGTGTGCTCTTCTACAGGATATTGGGACCCTATTCCCTTCTTCTCTCTTTGCTTCCAGGCCACCATGAAGTAAATAGCTTCCTTTACCATATGCTTCCCACCATGATGTATCATCTCACTGAATACCCCAAGAACAACAGTGCCAAGGAACCTGTGACATTCCTGAAACTGAGCCAAATAAACCTTTCTTCCATTAAGGTGATTAAAATCTCAGGCAGTTGCTACAGTAATCGAGAGACAAATAGCATGGGACTCAGTGAGATCATGTGGAAGTAGCTGTCATGATGGGACTAATATTTCTTATATGAAGTCAGACTAGACTTGGAGAGGACCTGAACACACAAACAAAAAATAGATACTCATGGGCTTTACAAAAGTGGAAAGCAGACCCACCAATTCTGAGGTTCTACAACATAGCCCTCAGGGCTTATGAACATGTTACGTTGAACAGCTGATAAAATTTGAGGTTGCAAGATGGAATTAAGGTGTCAATAAATTGACTGAATAATAGATTATCCCAATTATCAAGTGGGCTCAATGTTATCACAAAAGCCCTCATTACCAGTACTAGTAGACAAAGGACTACCAGAGAACTTGGGTAAGATAAATCCTGGAAAATTGTTAACTTTCCAGAGAAAGGAGAAACTACAAGCAGGGACCATCGACAGCCTCGGGGCAACGGAAAATGCAAAAGTGGTGGGGATGAAAAGCCCCAGAATGTACCATTCCAAAACCCACCCCTTTAGTATAGGAATTTGTTTTGAGCTTTTGGAAACTGAACACCAGTAGATGTAGGAAAAGCTTCCAACCTTTCACCCTATCAAAAAGTCCAGTAGAAATTTTCCTGTTTAATAGAGCACACTTCTGTTCACACACATGATGTCATACTAGGAAGAGAGAATCTGTCCTGCCCCTTCTGCTCACCTGGAGGCTGTCCTGGTCACCTTATCCACCAGACCCTGCCCTGTCTTGTCCATTGCTTCCCTCCCTTAATGGAGGCCCACAGCTTATTCTGTGTTTAGACAATGGTGCTGTATAAGCCCCAGTCACCAGGTTGACTCCTTGGCCAGTGTCGTTGTCAACTACCATGTATACCTACCATTAGCTGAGTTTTCTCTAGCCTTTTTTCCTTTTACTTTAATTTGTAAGGGTAGCCACTGAACTAGAAGGTTAAAGGAAGAAAGAATTTCACCTACATAGTTAAAGCTGAATTTTCTCTAGCCCTTTTTTTATTTTTATATTAATTTGTAAGGATAGCCATTGAACTAAAGGAAGGCTAAAGGAAGAAAGAGTTTTTCTCTACAACAGTATCTATGTCCTTCAGAGGAAATGCAGTCCTGAAGATACATTGACTTTGGACCAAGAAGGCTCATGTTGGACTTCTAACAGCAGTATCTAGGTGTTGCTTTGAATTGTTCTCATGCTAGAGCAGAAACAGGCACTGAAATCACATCGTATACAAACCTATAATGTTCTATATCTAAAGACCTTATATCCACATCTATAATTACATTGTGATATATCCTGACTATTTTCCATTTAATCTTAAACTCAAAATGATTGCCTTTCCAATGTAAAAGTCCTACTTTACTTGACTATTATTGTAACATAATGAGAAAACTGTGCCAAAAAAAACTGAGAATATGGAGTAAAAGACAGACTACTTGGCCTTCAAGTCTCAACTACAGCAGCTATGAACATTTTGACATCCAAATCTCAAGTCAAGTAAGTTGGAGATACTTCGTAAAATGGTCAGATCATACAGTTTATCAGATGGTAAACAAAAAGACTAAACCCAATGGGCTTCTTGGGTTCAGATAGCTCAAGAGTCTGGAGGCTAGCAAGTCTAAGAACGTGGCCCTGGTATCTTCTTGACATCTGATGAGGGCCTTACTCTTCATCAAAACATGGCATCAAATACTACCTGGCCAGATAGGTTAAGTGTAGCACTTAGGTCTCTTCCTCCACTAATAAAGCCACCAATGTCATCATGAGTTAACCACCCCATGACTTTATCTAGTCTTAATTACTTCACAAAAAATTCATCTCCAAATACTATTTAAAAATTTATGAATTGACTTTTCAAAAAAAAACTTGGGATTAGAGGACTATGGTCAAAGCATGGCAAATGTATCAGGGGAAAGCAGTTACTTACAGAGACATGGAAAATCATGGGAAAGTAGGGTAAAGCTTACCCTCAGTACACTCCAAGACTCCAAAAGGAGATATCAGGTATTCTCTGAGTATACAAGAAAAACCCTTTAGGCATAGCTGAGGTCTGAGAGAAGGAGATTCACATACCAAGGATGCAAGTGTGTGTTCGTGTACCTACTGCAAAGAAGAAGTGCCTCCAAATTGTATGAAGCTACCGAAAATGGCTCTGCAGACAAAAGACACCCACGGAGCCTCAGCAATATCCATGTGAACTATGTACTAAGAGTAGGCTAAGACAACATCTTTATTTCTTCTAGTTTAGTAACTGAGGTTTAGTTTCAGCTAGCCCATCTCCTCTCATAGCCATTTTCTCTCCACCCGGAGAATCCTCCATATATCTGCTCCCCCTGAGTCTACTTTTCCTGCCTAAAGCTATACTCTATGGTCTATCATGCTGATAGTTTCCAGAGTAATCAAGTTCATATCACTTTTGAACTGCCTGAGTGGTGAGATAAAATGATAAGGAAAGAAATGACATTTCTAAGGGCTGCTATGTCTAAGAACCTTGAAGTTCAGAAGCAGATTTCACCTTCCTAGCTACCATCTCCCATCACTACCCAGCTGGTCCCAGTAATAAACAGTTGACTCTCTGTTTCTGTGAAGCATTGATTCCAGGGCCATCCAAAGATTTCAAAGCCCACAGATCTCAAATTCTCTTATTCAAAATGGTATGGTATTTATATAAAAGCTGCAAACATATACCTAAATAGTTTAACTCATTTCCAGGTGACTTAAAATAGCTAACATGATGTGAGTACTATATAGTTACTATACACTTTTGTTTGGGGTGTGGTGACAAGGGACTAGACTGTACAAATTCACATGTTATCTAAAAGTTTGGGTTTGCAGTTGAGTGTGAGATGCAGACTCGTGGTGGGGTGGGGGGAGACTATAGTCTAGAGACACTTGAAGGATACCCAATGCCATGAGAAGAAAAGTGTGCATACCTCGTGCATCTTAGCTGAATAATTCATGATGTGTTGAATTTGAAGGTCATTGAAACCAAATTGGGATTTAAGATCAGACTGGACTTTCTGAGGATCCCACACCATATTTTTCAGGGACAGATGGTAAATGGTGTCTGTGAACACAGATGATTTATGCATTAGTTATTTTGACATTTAGATATGCCTATAATAATAAACAAAATAATATTTTACTTCTAAATGAATAAAAAATTAAACCTAATTACCACTGAATACCATTTGGGGTGAATAAAAACATTGGCTGGAGAGGTGGTTCAAAAGTTAATGGTGGGGCTGGAGAGATGGCTCAGCGGTTAAGAGCACTGACTGCTCTTCCAGAGGTCCTGAGTTCAAATCCCAGCAACCACATGGTGGCTCACAACCATCCATAGTGAGATTGGATGCCCTCTTCTGGTGTGTCCAAAGACAGCTACAGTGTACTCATAATAAAATAAATAAATCTTTAAAAAAAAAAAAAAAAGTTAATGGTGTTTACTGTTCTTTCGGGTAATCCAGGCTCAGTTCCCAGCACCCACATGTTGGCTCACAACCACCTGTAACTCCAGTTTTATGGGTTCTGATGACTTCTTGGCTCTATGAGCACCTAAATGCACATGATACACATAGACTCAGCCATACATACAGATGTGTGTACGTGCAAATACATACACATAAAATAAACAAATGAGCTTAAGGAAGAATAAAGAAAAGCTGGTACAGTTATCAACCCTCATGTGCAGAGGACACTTTGCAAGGTCCCTAGAAGATACCTGAAAACATACATAACCAAACCTTGGATATAGAAAATTTTTCCTACCCATACATACCCATGATAAAGTTTAATTTACAAAGTAGGCATAGTAAGACATTTAAGTGACGAATAATACAATAATAATATGCGTCAATAAAATTTCCAAAATACAAATTTTTCTTTGTATTTTAAGGCTACTATTAAAAAAAAGTTACTTGAACAAAAGCATTTTTATGCCATAACAGCTGATCTGATAACCAAAAGTCCTATTGGCTGCTGAATGATTAATGTGTAGGCAGTGTATATGGTATGGATACATGGAACAAAAGAGAGATTCCTGTTCAAGGTAACATGGAACAAGAAAAAGTAAGATTTCACCTTATTATTTAAAAAATCCCATTCCCAGAATAAAATATATCTTCTGCCCAAAATATGCTGTTCCCGAGCCTGAGTTGTAAATACCTATTTCTACTGATATCATTCTTCATTAGAATTAGACACAGAGTTCCATAAAAGATCAGGAAAAAAATAGTGTCAATAGTCTACCAAAAGGCTTTAGAAAAGAAATCTATTATTTTTGAAAACTGAATGGAAATATGATTCTGAAGTTTGTAGCTGTAGAGTGCCATGTTCAGATACTGTGAATTAATAATTTCGGTGAGTCATATGACTGAGCCTCCATCAGTTTCCTCCATGCACTGCAATCTGTTCACCAGGAAAAACATTTTTCTTGGAGACAAGAGAAATGAAGACAATTTTTAGTGGTCTCTAGAGGTCTGTTCTATAATCGTATTTCTTAACTCTGACTCAAATGGATATAAAATTGTTTTAATTACATTCTTTAAAGTAATTATATCTCCAATTGTAAGCGAAATTGAATGTTATAATGTGGATGATTTGCACAAATTTCTGCTTCCAAATGAGCTTGTTAAAATTGAGGTCACAGAAAAATCTTTCAATGTGGTGTTTTAATATATCTCCTAGCCCACCTTCAGTCTTTCATTCCAGTCTTAAGAAATAGCTTCTGGTAGAACTAAATTGATATAAAAATTGAGTTGATCCTTAATAGCCTAGCTTCCTTCATACAAAAATAAGTCAAAGAAACCCAGCCTCTCCTTAAGATTTATCATCCTGAGCCCCAAGCAGCAAATGGAGCTTGGGGTAAGGGAGGGTATTTTGAAGGACAATATTGTGTTATGCTGTTGCATACAGCAGGAGAAATATATCTGGGTCTATAGGAATATCTACAAAACCAATGCATTGTATTTCTCAGGACAGGGAGCCACCAAAAGTAAAAGGCCAATGGGAAGTGTGACCCAGGACTTACCTGTCTCCAGCCTCACGAGCATTCCTGAGTCTCTTGATCCATTGGCCTTTGACGCTGCACCTGACTCCCTTTCTGAGCCCATCTCTGCCACTGCCTGATATACCTCAGACATGCTGACCATTGAACTCTGTCCACTCCTGGCAAGCCCATGAATGCCAAACACTGTTCCTCTTCCCTGGAAATGTTCCTTGGTCATGTCAACAAACTCTAACATTCTTTGAAACTCTTCTCTGAAGCTGTTCCAGAAGAAGATGCCAGATCCTCTCTCTCTCTCTGTGGTCTCTGCTTTCTACGTTGACATCTTTTGCTCCTTTACAAACATCTCTGGATGCAAGAACCACTCCTCATTGATAGCTATGATCCCAGTTACTTAGAAAGCTGAGTCCAGAAAATTACATGTTCAAGACCAGCCTGGGAAACTTAGTGAGATACTACCTCTAAATAAAACTAATTTTTAATGTAAAGTCACTTTTTTGTAATTAATTCACAAATAAAATATCATGCAGCCAGATTAGCCTAGCCACTCAAACAAATACTTGTCTAATATATAAATCTCAATGAGTTTGTGTAAAAGAAAAACAATTAAGTGGAAGGAAGATGATAAAGAGATGTTCACTGGTTAGAAGTGAATCCTGCTGGGCCTAAGACCTGAGTTACTTAAACTCCCTGTACCCATAACCAGTGAATCACAACTGCCTCCAACTCCAGTTCCTGGAAACCTGATGCCCTCTTCTGACCATTATGGGTATTACACTCATGTGTGCAAGCCCACACACATACATAGAGTGAAAAATAAAATATGTTTTAATATATTGGGTTATAGAAAAATGATAGAGTACTTAAGTGATGAGAGAGAGAGAGAGAGAGAGAGAGAGAGAGAGAGAGAGAGAAACCCATTTCCTTTTCAGCTCATAAATGAAACAGATGAGTGGAATGTTGGTGGAGTAGCAATGATGGGGTGACTGGGTTGGGAACGATTAGCTGATATATGAGTAGAGAGGTAGGGGCAGATGAACAGTCAAGTGGCGAGGTGGATGGCTGGATGGTTACAGACAGACAACAGATGATAAGAGATAAATTCTATCCACTGTTCTCCCACTGCATTTCCCACAGAAAATTAAAGAAAGAAAGAGCCAACAGGAATCAATTTACAAGTAAAATATTGAATCCAGTGACAACTTAATAATGTTCAAATCAAGAATACAGGGGATCCCATTTACTTCCCTGAAGAGGGATCCTTATTACATACACAATAGCGTGCCTTCTTTGAATGACCTCGCTCTTTCCTGCTGCCTCCAAGTCCACTTACAGGGGACTGGAATTTCTTCCCAAAGGGAGCTTAAAAGGATGAAAGGTTAAAAATCACAAAACAAGTGGTTTGTCTGAACTTAAAAGATGGCTTACAACTTAAGGAATTTTTTTAAACTCAGTTGTTTAAAAATATAAGTGCAATTCTTATTAGCAATGACTTCAGAATTTCAACAGCTGTAGAAAGTCAGTTTTAACTTACAAATTTTGATCATACGTTTGTCTTACTAACAGAAACAATGAATTTTGGGTTGATATTTTAATTAATTAATTCTTTAAAGATCCCTGTGGTTCTGTGCTTGCTAACAAGAGTGGAATATCCCTGATACAGCCCCAGTCCTTAGGGTCTCTCACCATTGACAGTTGCTCTGTGCTGCTGCAGAAACCTCAGGTTGGAGATGGTCACGTTCAGAACATGTCTAGAAACTTGGGAGATGGTCTGATGCAGTGGTAGCCAATCCAAATCTCCCAGAGATGCTAATGAACTAGGTCAGAAACAAACCAAGCAGAGTGAGTCAATTAGCAGTCAACCAAGGAGTACCAACTCCAGACTTACGTCATTCCCACTGGCCAGACACCAACCCTGATTAAGGATGTTGCCAAATATTAGTGTGTTTGCATTCTGCTTGGTTTAATGAAACCCTAACGCCCTGGGTAGGAGAATAAGCAAAAATGAGATTTTTGTCTTGCAATATTCGAGTGGCTTTCACATACACCTTGCTTCAGAGTGTTCTACCACAGACTCTGTTTTATGCTCAGTCTTGGGTCTTTCTGCCTGTTTAGCAGACAAGGCCAGACGGAATACACAATGTGAAAGGAGGATGTGCAGTTAGCTGGGCTACCTCGGGTTCTTATAGTCAGTCTATTACCTGGAAAACGTACTATATTCCTACCCAGGGAACTAAAAAGGGATATGTGTCCTATCCAAAGATCTAAAAAGTTCATGGGCCAATCAGTGGTTGTCAAACTGTTTTACAGAATAAGGGGATTTGGACAGGAGGAGTAATAAGAATATGTTATGCATTCTATTTTTTTTAAATGACAATATTTTATAAATAATTTCTGCTACAGGTCAGAATTGTTTCCAGCTGATGTGGAACTGTATGTACTTTATCAGCATGAGATTGAAACCACCAACACCATGGTTCCAAGCAGGTAATCTCCACGTGGCTCCTCACTAAGGAAATCTCTCACTGCAGCTGTGTGCCTTTAGGAGAATCCCATGACTTTTAAAAAACCATCCCTGAATCCCAACATCACTTGCAAGCAATGCCTACTATGAGTAGTAGAATTTTTTGCTACTATAGAAAGAATACAGAACAGAAATGAAACCCACAGAAGATGACACTGTCAGCCACCCTTATCATAGCTACTGGTTTGAAATTGTGCATCTCTCTAAATACCCTGACTATTCTCATTTTCCACGGCTAATCAGCCCTGTGCTTAGAGCAGCAGCACAGAGGGGGCTCATTACAACTCTGGCCAAATAATTAAGATTACAAAATGTTAGAATGTGCTTCATGCTCTGCCACCAGTGATGTCCATTACAGTTCAAAAGGCATAGCGAAAATCCAAAGAGTCTGGTCCTCAGATGAGCTGTGTTCTAAAATGTGAGGTGTAAGAGACAGGCACCCCTAACAACCCTCTGCTATGTCAGCATTGCAAAAAGCTGTGTATATGTGTAGTTTAGTTAATAATTTAATGTAAAAATCACTAGTTGAAAAGTTGGAAGTCCACAACATAAAGCTCTGCTTCAGAATGTTCCTCTAAGAACATGAGGTCAGATCCACTAGGCTTGTTATGTCAGCAGGACAAGGTACCTTTCAGGCTACATGATGTCTTTGGAATTATTGACTAAAATTATTATATTGTGGCACTTTTCTAGCTGTGAAAATCTTAGAAACAAACACCAACGCTGATGGTAACATTATTAATTATAGTATCTTATATACTATTTCATCAATGTTCATATAAGTCAATAAAATGTTAATCAAATAATGTTAACTTTCTAATGGTTGAATATGCTCTAAAGAGCACCACTGCCCACAGGTAAGATATGTATACACGGATGGGGAAAAGGGAAAGTGTAAGGGTTCTAGATGCCTTAAAAGGACATTATTAGGGTGTCTTTTATAAAAATATTGCCCAGTGACATATTCTCCTACTAAAATTATAGAGATAACACATGTATGTTTATTGTTGTTGTTTGCTTACTTCAAACCCGCCTGGAGAAAGTGTGTCACAGCACCCATGCTATCTTCCAAGTGAGCACTGGACATGTGCAGTCTGGGCAGTGAACGTAGAAAATCCCAAATATGAGGTTGCTGGTGAAGGCTTTCCAATTTTGATATCACATCTTCAGTTTTATTGAGATCCATCTGATAGGAAAAAAATACCAAAAGTTTTCCCATTTAATTTTATTGATCAAGTATAGAGGAGACAGAGATAGATAGACAAGGTGCTTCACATACGTTAAAAAAATAAAAATAATAAAAAAAACTCTCATGCCTAACTCCTCACTATGTCCAATAAACAAGATTTTAAAATTATTAGGTTCCTTCTATTCTTAAAGTTTTGAAACTATAAAAATTTGTATGTATAAAATCAAGTACCAATACTAAAAACATGAGAAAACCTTCTATTTAAATTTACTATAAAGTATCAAAAAGAAAAAAATAAGAGAAGAATAAAAACAAAAGAGTGGATGGGGTAGAAAAGAAGGATGCGGGAAATGAGAGGAAGGAGGAGGAAGAGAAGCAGGATTGGCTGTCATGGGCACCACCTATGTGGTACCAAGGAGGGCTGCTCTGAGTGTCAGCTCTCTTGAAGCATCCTCTCAGGCTTAGCTTGCTTCTTAGAGGGAACAGATGTAGAAAGCAAATACTCTGCAAGTACTTGGTGTGGAGTACTGTGACCAGAAGGCTGGGCTCTCAGGCAACTGCTGGCTGTACCTGAGGCTAGATTAGACAGCCAATGGGGGTGGAGAGAGTTACCTGATAACCTCAGGAACAGCTTTTATTCCTGGTCTTCCAGCCCTCTGCATATCCTTCTGGAACTGTATAATCTGTCTCCCCAGCCATTTCTATTCTCTTCCAGGAGACAGGAGTCACACTCCCACCCCCTTGCTCTATTAGAGCCTCCCTTGTCATGGGAACCTCCCTGTCAGCATCACCCAGCTCGAGGTGGCCACTGCTCTGATTGGTCCCTCCACAGCACTAAGATAGTGGATCACCTCATCTCCTTGACAATAGTTTTTCTGGGCTTCCACACAGCTTACCTCCATCTCTTCCTCTTCCTATCTCCCACACCTTCTCAGATACATTCCCTGCTTCATCTCCATCTACACTCTCTTCCCTTCCTTCACATGTCACTTCTGCCCCAACACCGTGCAAATTCATTACATCTATTCCAGACTGTTTACCTCAGCACCCATTTTGTGTCACCACACCCTCCTTGACAGTACCACCTAGATGGATCCCTAGCATGCCCAAGTCAGTCTCCCGATTTCTCCTCCCTGCTTCCTCCTCCTCACCACACCACCAAGGGAAACTTGCACTAACCTTTCTCTACCTCAGTAAATAGCCATTCTGCACTTCCAGTTGCTGTGACAAAGCACCTAGAATCGCCTTGACTTTTCTAACTCATGTTCACTTAGAGATTCTACTGGTTGCACCTTCTAAATATATCAAGAATTCCACCACCGCCTACTTTCTTTCTCTGACTGCACAGCTACATTACACATTTGACATACATAAGTACTGCATAAGTAACTAAGTTGATTCCTTAGTTTCTAAATTTTGCTTTCACCATCACCAACCTATGGCTCAGCACAGTGACACAAAAGGTCCTGTAAAGATATAATTCATGTCTCACTCCCCTGATCAGATTACCCCCAAAGACCATTCCACTCAAAATGAAAATCATGCAGAAAATCAAACATGGTAGATCATGCTGGGAATCCTAGCACTGAGGTGTTGGAGAGATAGAATTATCAGGAGTTCAAAGCCATCCTTCACGACGTGGAGAGTTGGAGTCTAACCTGGACTATTTGAGACCCAGTCTAGGAAGGAAGGAAGGAAGGAAGGAAGGAAGGAAGGAAGGAAGGAAGGAAGGAAGGAAGGAAGGAAGGAAATATATCGGGTGATATGACATCATTACCAAAATTCCATAGCAAAAACATAGACCTAGAATCCTTTCATCTTACAAACAGGACTGCTTTGCTGTGGCCACACTTCAGCTCAACATATGCATGGCCTCAATGTCTGCATAATAATCAGACCATGGATAGATATGATGGCAGTTTCTATTTTCCACAATTTCTATAGTCTTTTTCCATGTTAATTGTTGATTGTATAGAGTATCAACATTTACTTAACCTAGTTTTGAATATTAAAATTATCCATCATAATAAATAATCTATTTATTCATGAACATTTTTAGCATAAGAAAAATTGTCAGAAAGGCCACAAAGATATCAAGTTGTATTTCAACATTGATTATATCAGTCTTTCATTGTCACAAGTCATCTGACATTTAGGTGTGCTGCTCACAACCCCTTTAAAATGCTAATTTGATTATTAAAACTACACTTCACATGATTAAGCTAACATTCTTCAATTATTTATAAACTAAGCTTGCATGAACCTAGACTCCTTTGTGTGTGAGAATTTTAGAAGTTTGGTTTCTTTTTTAAAAACAAAGAAATATTATAAGAAAGTGTTTTCATTTTAATCCCAGGTGTGGGGATATGAGGCTGCTCCGAATTGACCACTGCAGCTGACTACGATTTGCCTCCTGCTCTAGCAGAGGCATGGTTTACCAGCTGCAGATAGTTTCTGTGGTTCTATGATGTTTGGAATTCTGGCAACTTTTCAGAGGGTATATTAAATGCTATGGCCCCAAGAAGTGTGGTGGATGGTTGTTGGTCACTTAGGGAGGTTGGTTGTAGTTTGTTAGTAGCTGTGGTCAAAGAAGAAACAAAAGGAAAGAAATTGGATCCAGAGATTTTTCCTAACTCCTCTCCTCCCTCTATCCTTGTTTCTCTCCTGTCTAGTGTTAGGGGATGAAACTACACAGATAAAGGGTAGGAGAGAGAAAACCCCACAAAGTATCAAAGGTCCACTGCACCTTTGCCCTGGTGTAGCAGTTGCTGTAGGTGCCTGACAACAATGGGGTGTCATTTAATGGACACACAGGCAATTCCGCCCCACCCAGAGCATTTTGACACTTATTGTTGGACTCTTATAATATTTTATTATGCACAAATTTTCATGAGATGCTTTATAGCCTGCCAGAGCACAGTGCTACCAAAAACGCATGGGCCTTGAATGTCTGGCAGAGCAGTGTAAGCAAAGAACAACCTCGGTACTGAGGGTCACCCTTTGCTCAGGCCTCCACAACTTCTACTCTACTGATGGCCGGCTGAGTCTGTTGTGGGGATGCCTATCTTTGAAGAATATTTAGAAGCATTTCCACCTCTGATCACCAGAAACAAAGAGTGGTCTCTCCACCCACCCCTAGCTGTGACAACCTCAACTGTATGCAAATGATAGTAAGTCATCTTATTGACTCTATGGCCTTAACTGAAAGGCCTGTGTTTCAAGAGGGTCTAAAGTTATATGCCAAGCACAGATCTTACCAACTTTGACTTCATGTTGACTTAAATCCTTCCAACAAAGCAACCTGTGTGTGTGTGTGTGTGTGTGTGTGTGTGTGTGTGTGTGTGTGTGCCACCCACTGCATCCTCTCCCATCTTCTCCTTCTCATAGTCTCAGAAATCTGATTTTTAGAAATTAAAACCCATTATTCAATCTATGTCTGATGTAAATTTACATCTGTTGAATCCCACCCTGCACAGTCATTATCAAAAAAAAAAAATGAAGTGACTAATAGAGTCCTTTAAAATATAAACTCAGCCACAAAGAGATGTTGCTGGATACTCACTGTTAGAAAGCTGGGGCCATAAGAGGAACCTACAATAAAACACATTTAACAGGTCAGCTGCTCAGACCTCAGAGGACACTGTGTGCCTGCTTCAGTCTGAAAAAAGATATCTACTGAAAAAAGATATACATAAGCAACAAACAGAAGGATAAATACAAAGACAATTGTTGCTGCGACATCCCAAACATTGATACTAATTTCCCAAAAAACAAATAGTAAATACATTTCAGAATTTTGTCAGTCTCTAATCACATCTTGTATTGTGAGTATGCCCACAGAATGAACAGAGTGAGTAGAAACAGAGGAAAAATAATCTGAGTGTGTTGGCACACCTGCAATCCCAGCACTCAGGAAGCAGAGGCAGGAGGATTGCTGAGTTCAGAGCCTTCTTGGTCTATACAGTAAGCTCCAGATCATCCAGAGCTACATAGCAAGTCCCTTTCACAGAAAACAAACAAGCAAAACCTTCAGAGGAGAGGAAAAGAAAAGTGAAATTATTGTTTTTCGGACTTCTATGTAACATGGGAAATACCTCAGATAATAACAAGCTGAAAATAGGTATACTCATCTCAAGAGAATTAGTTCTCCTCTCAATCATATAGGAAAAAGAACTGCTCTTGAACCCCAACCCCTCCAAAAATGTTATTGTTTATTGAGACTAATCATCATCCCATAGCCAGGCTGACCTTGAATTCAAAATCCTGCCACAATCCCCAAAAGCTGAGGTTACAGATGAGAGCCCTTATCTGTTGTAGAAAACCACCTGCCTTTTACAGAGATACTTTCAAAAAAAGAAAGGAAAAAGACCAAGTCACATCTCCAAATCAGGAATGTTTGTAGAGATGATGTAGATATTTCTAAAACGTGGACAGGCAACATAGGAAGTGTAGATAGTATTTGAGGAGGCAATTTAGATAGGTGGGCATCAGCCTGTAGGAAGGCTGGATCACTCCTTTATAGCCTTTGCATGCCCTAAAGAGGAAGAGCATTCCAGCCCACCCTCCCAAACAGCAAGCAGTGTTAGCCTCATCCAGCAGGGGGCGCACCTTTACCTAAGCCCTGGAGAACTCTCTGTCCAAGAAAAAAAGGTAACCGGGTTTTTTTTTTCAGGCTCTTACCTGGGGTTTCAGATCTTTCCAGCCAGAGTTTTTGTAAGGTCTTTGCCTTGTTCATGGTCTCAAAAATTTCCTCAGCCAGGTCCTGAATCTCATTTAAAAAGGCCAAGCTACTGACTTTTCTGTCATCAGTTTGGAACCTAGACAAACTTCAGACACAAAAAATAACTATCACCCATGGGAGAACTCTTACAAGAATTCGTTTCCCTGGCATTTAAAGGGTTTTGAAACCCCATACCAAACCGTCTTCAATGAAATATGCACATAATTACATGCATATCACCCACCCAGAAACACTCTTGACCATCATTCAAAATGGAAAGTATCTCTAAAATTACAAATTTAAGGTTAAAAAAGTATCTTCATTCTCTTCATTATCTGTAAAGATCAAAACTTTATATAGTCATTAGGGTTTTTTTCATTTATTCAACATGTATTATACCAAACACCCCATGCAAGGTGCCAAGAGTAAACATCACTGAGCAATAGCAGGAAACAGAGTGCATTGTGGGTAGACATAAATGCTATGAGACAAGAAGTAAAGGGTCTGGGTGTTGGAGAAAGGGTTCATAGAGGAGAGCTGATAAATGGAATGGTCCGCACATGGGAAGGACAGGGGTCTGTGCTGGGCATGAGGGTATCCAGGGGTGGGAAGAGTCAGAAGTATCTAGACAAGAACAGTGAAATTTGATGGTGCAAGAGGATTCCAAACAGAGTTAGTTATGAGAAGACAACCACTTGACAGCAGGAGAGATCTGTTGACATGATTCATCTAAAAAGGAGAAACCAACCAAGCACACCAACAGAGTAAAAACAGTATTTGCTGAGCCCAGCACCTGTTCATAGTAAAAAGTCCCTAAAAATGAAATCAACTTTTTTAACTTGTAAGGAACATTTGCAGAATGCCTATAGCTAGCTTCCTTTTGACAATGAGAACCTCAAAGCTTTCCCCCAAAGATCAAGAACCACAGTCCTTCCTCCCCATACCTTTTAAATATCTGCTGAAACCACAGAGGCATGGAGGGAAAATGGAAATAAGGACACATGGATTTTAAAAAAATCAGTGCTGGGCTGGAGAGATGGATCAGTGGTTAAAAGCAATTGTTGCTTTTGCAGAGGACCCAGGTTTATTCCAACATCTGCATGATGGCTTAAAACCACATGTATGTAACTCCACTTCCAGGGGATTCAAACTCTGTTCTTACCTCAGGCACCAGGTATACATGTGGTATACAAACATACGTACAGGCAAATAAACAAACATACAAAATACTAAAACCAATAAGTATTTTTTTAAATAAAGAAACAATCAAAGGCCTTTCTTCAAGGATGTATAGTTGAATACAGATTCAAAATATTGCACATAAAGTTCAAAAAAAATTTTGAAAGCTAAAATAAGACTTGGTTTCTTTCCTGCACTCCCTCAAAGAAGAGGTACACTTGACATTAGAAGAGTGAGCTTTGTGGCTGCAGAGTGAGGAAAAGATGACGAAGGGCGGGGCTTTGGAGGAAGGGGAAAGCAGACAGATTCAGGACCCACTGTGACCTTGCAAAGACCTTACCAATTTAGGTGTGCAGCATTAGCTACATTTATTCTTTTCTGTATTTCTTTAATTAAATTATTTATTGATTTAATAATTTTTTTACTTATTCACTTTACATCCTGCTCACTGCCCTCCTCTGGTCATCACTCCTTCAATCCTTCCCCCCTACCCCTCCACCTCCCCCATCCCTTATCCTCTGAGCATGTGGGCACCCCTGGGTATTACCCCACTGTGGCACATCAAGTCTCTGTGAGGCTAGGTGCATCCTCTCCCTCTGAGCTCAGACAAGGCAGCCCAGCTAGAAAAACATATCTAACAGGCAACAGCTTTTGGGACAGCCCCCACTCCACTTGCTTGGGATCCACATGAAGACCAAGCTGTACATCTGTTACATATGTGCAGGGAGAACTAGGTCCAGCCTGTGTATGCTCTTTTCTGTATTTCTGATGCTTTGACATGTTGAAGGCTTGCTGGCCCTAAATGGCGACCCTTGCCGGGTAGACAATCCTTAGATATGACAAACATAAATGGTAGGTGGTTAAGCTCATCCATGGCTATGTGTTTACCTGATTTAAAAGGGGATTTATAGAGAGGAATATGAGCTGGACTTCCAAGATGCTGGAAGATGCTGGCACAAATGGCTTCTCCTGGAGCAAGATGGAAATGCAAGCTCAAGCCTGCAGCATCACTCGTCATCCAGAAAGAGAAGCCAGGGGGCTCGTTTGAGAATGGTGGTAATTGGCTCCATGTACTGGATATTCAAGAATTGTAATTGTTCTTCCATGGAGGTGTTTAGTTTATGTACACAACTTACTTGTTTTAAGTAGATTAACTTTATAATCACATTCATTGCTTTTAACTTTATTTTAGCATTGAGCAATGTTCCTCCAACAAGATAACACATTTGACATTTTATGAGCAGAGAAAAACTACATCAATCTAACTCTAGAATAGATGAATAATAACATATGTTTCTGAGAGGATTTTCTTTACCTTTAAAACAAGATCCTATAAATGTAACCCTGAAGAAAGGCCCAGAGTGATTAACAGAACAAGTGGGAAACTTGGTCACTAGTGACTCTTGGGTGCCTCCTCCAGCCAACTCCCACACAAGGGTGGCAGAGGTTGCTGGGTACCTGCCTTGTCATCCATGCCTCCTACCAGAGACCCACCAGCTAACCCAACATTGTAGAAGTGCAGACTGAAATTTTAAGTATCAAGGGATAAGCCAGATGAAACTTTCTAAATAATTAAATAACCATGTATGAACCATGTATGTGAGAAATACACATCTCCCTATGCAATACAATCTTCTTTTCTTTACTCTCCTGGGTACTGATATGTGTCCATGCCCAAACTGGGAAAAAAATTTGAGTGTATGTGTGTGTGTGTGCATGCATGCATGCCTACATGTGTGTGTGCATGTATGTGTGTGTTTCTGTGTATATTTGTGTGTACATGTGTTTATGAGTATGTGTGTTTATGTGTATGTTTATGAGCATGTATGTGTGTATATGTGTATGTGTTCGTGAGTATGTATCTGTGTATATGTGTATGTGTTCGTGAGTATGTATGTGTGTGTATATGTGTATGAGTGTTTGTGAATGTGTGTGTATATGTGTGTTGTGTTTATACATATTTGTGTGTGTCGAGGGGTATGTGTGTTTGTGTGTGTTTGGCATATGTGTTTGTACATGTGTGGGTAATTGTGTATATATGTATATATGTGTGTGTATGTGTTTCTGTATTTATGTATATGTATTTGGGTGTGTTTTCTGTGTACATGTTATATGTGGTTTTTTATGTATGTATTTTTGTGTGTATGTGTGCTTGCATATGTGTGTGTATGTATTGGGGTATGTTTTTGTGAAAACATGTGTATATGTAGTTTTCTATGTATGTTTGTGTGTACATGCTTGTGTGTATATGTGTGTACATCTGTGTGTATGTATGTGAATGTGTGTACAAGTGCTTGTGTGTATGTCTGTGTTTGTGCATGTGTTTCTGTATGTGTTTTTGTTTGTGTGTATTTGTGTGTTTGTATGTATATTTTTGTGTGTGTATGTGTGTTTGTGTGTGTATAATGAGAAAATGTTCTCATGACTAGCACTGGTCAGCTGCTTACAGTGAAGCTCAGTAAAAATTCATTTTAATTAGTAAAATTACTAAATTGGAAAAAAGTGGAAAAATCATTCTACACGTTGCTGCAAGCCGGTTAAAATAACTAAGCACCCAATCAAGTTTAGCATATCCAAAAAGTGAAAAAGGAGTAATGTTGAGAAGAAACTTTCCTATTACAAATTATAGAACACCTTAGAGGTTTTTAATCCTGTGTTATTTTATAAATTAGAGAACTTTAGAAATAAATAACAAGGTTTGCATGACCAAAAAAAGAATCCCCTCCGCAAACATTGTCATTCACTGCTTAGAGACTACAGTGAAACCCAGCATCACTGATAAATAAAACAAGCTCAATGCTTCATCTGGATCAGAGAACATTCAGAGAAGAAGAAACTGTTCTCTACATGCAAACAGAGACTGCTAGCAGCCCAGGCAACCCAGTGCACAGAGGCCATCTTCAACAACATGTGGCTCTTATGAACCTCCAGAATCTCGTCCTGCGGGGGGGGGGGGGGCGCGGAGCAAGAGGGAGAGGGAGAGGGATTGGGAGGGAGGATCTTTTTCTTGAGTGTTTCAAATTCCAAAAGCACAAGAGTAGATCAGTCTGGATTCTTTTGAAAGACCTTATATTAAAACCCAAAAGTGGCCTCTAAAGACATCTGTGACCTGCTCTCCAGGCTCACCAAATGCCCAAAACCCTCCTGGAGACCTGGGGATTACCAAGTTGAAGGCACTGGTATACAAAAGTGGACACAAGGATCCCTTGTAACAAGAAGTTGATTTTATGGTCTAAGTATTATACTAAAGATGATTCATCACATTCTTATGTTCATATTATCAACAAAGGAAGTGCATAGTAAATCTTTAAATTCAGTGTTACAGTGTGTATGTGTGGACAAGGGAGAGGGAGTGGAGAAGGAAGAGAGGTGGAAGTAGAGGTGAAGATTCTTGATATAGAAGAAAAATTCCAGCACTATAGCAGGATGTGGGGAGGGCAGCTTCCTCCTCCTTCCTCAATTCAGTTCTTCACTGACACTTAACTATGCAAAACCTGATCCTGTCCCAGTAAACTGAAGCTCACACAGATTGTGTTAATATTCTATGAGGCTGGTAGACTTAAAACTGGTAAAATCACTCTGGAAATCAATCAGGAGGTTCCTGAGAAAACTGGAAATAGATCTACCTAAACACCCAGCTATACCACTCTTGGGCATATACCCAAAAGATGCCCCACCATACCACAAGAGCATGTGTTCCTCTATGTTCATAGTGGTCTTATTTGTGATAGCCAGAGCTGGAAACAACCCAGATGTCCTACAACAGAAGAATGGATACAGAAAATGTGGTTCATTTACACAATGGAATACTACTCAGCTATTAAGAACGAGGACATCATGAGTTTTGCAAGCAAATGGATGGAACTTGAAAATAGCATCCTGAGTGAGGTAACTCAGACACAAAAGTCATGCATGGTATATACACAC